TAGTTTCTCGTTACAGATGGAAAGGGGAACACAAGAACTAATAGCTCAGGGTTATGACCACGGAGCTGCTCAGACCAAATAAATAAATGAATAAATTGTATTGCTTTGTTCCTGAATTAGCTCAAGGGCAGACACCCAACTAGATTAGGATCCCTATATGGCAAACACAAAGATGGAGATTTTCCTCCCAGTTTTCCTTAATGCTTTGTGCCGTTATATTCAGAAGTATACCTTAAAGTGGTCTGGGGAGGTATCTACCAAACAACAGCAGAGGAGATCTGTTAGGAGTCATCTTCCAGTAAGAGGTAGCCATTACACACTATACCATGCCTTGTATATGAGCCTCCCTCAGCAGAGTGGGCTCATAGATACCCACTGTCTGGTTCTTTGCTAGCAGAGCACTCTCCTATATTTGGAGAATCCCAGAGATCGGGTGCACAGGAACCTACAGCTTCCTACTTCTGAAAGAAACACCAGAAAATCTTGCTGAGACATGCATGCTGATTAGCTCAGCCCTTATTCCTTCCCTGGCACTGTCTCACATACTGGGAATTCCTGGGACGACAGTGACTGAACATATTGGATTTACATAATCTTGCTTAAAAATCAACATGGAATTTGCATCGTGTTGCCAGATTTCAGTTGCAGGGGTGGATCTTTGGGGAAGTCATACCTGAAGATAAACAAATAAAACAGAAAGAAAGTGACAGGAGCTGATTTTCACAGATTTTTGCTATGCATTGAATCATCTCAGAGATCTAGTTTGGAAAGTCTTTCTTTTGAAGTGAGAAAAAACTGCCAGTCTTCCAGTGAGCCACAGCGTTGTCCTTATTCTCATTCAGAGAACCTGCCACCCACACTCCATTGGTTGGGGCTTGCATATATGATAGAAATTCAAGGTGAGGCTTTTTGTTTTGTGTTTTCATCAGTGTTGTACTAGGAGAAACCAGAACCTGGTGGAAAGGCCCATTATAATGCCTCACATCAAGCAGATAGTGGTCAGAAAAGGGTCTGGATTTGAACATTTTTTTTTTTTTATTTTTTCCTGTATGTTTTCTAACATTTTCATGCATCATTTTCCTATTTGTATTTCTTCATTGTGAAATCCTGTCTCTTAAAGGCATTTTTTTCATCTCCAGTGGACATGCGAAATTTGCAATAACCTTGGTCATAAAGTAAGGATACACTAAGCTGCAGCCTTGAACTCTGAGGTGTGTATGGCATTCACCCAAAGTTACCTCTTTTCTCTCTTTAATCAACATTTCTTCCACTCAAGTTTTCTACTGAACCTTGACCTAAGGAGACAGGGAAACTGGTTACTTGGGGTTAAATTTGCACCACTTTAAAAGGAAGCTGTTTTAAATGACCTAGAAGAGGGATGTGCTGAAATGCCACAATATCAGGACACTGAAAGTAACTGACCCCACAAAACCTCTAAAAACCTGCTGAAGAAGGTCTCTCGGGCACCTAATGCATCGGTGACCACACAGAGACCAAGACATCTGCCCCGAGAGACCAGTGCAAAGGTGGCACTATTCCTGTCCCCATCCAGGTGGGACACAGAAGGGACAAATTGACACAGCAGCACCCTGCAGCTGAGCTGAGCCAGGGACACAAACTCTTCTTTGGTTAGGTCAAAAGAGGGCTGCAAAAAAAATTGTTCTGAAACATTTAAAGGCCTAAGGGCTCAGTACATGGCTAGTTTCTGCAGAGCAGTTTGTTGTTCAGGGGCCTAAGAGAAGGAGCAGGGCTGCTGGGAAGCTTTCAAAGCTCTTCTGTCCTTATCCTGAATAGGAAGGGATGAAAGCACCGAGTTTATCATTCAAAGATGTGTTTCAGGAGGCCACATACAATAACCTCTTCCCGGTCTGTAGCAGATTTCAAGGCTAAGAAAGGGCTCCCTCTGGAGAAATATTACCAGCTCCTTCTGAAATCCCGCAGCCTGCACAGAGCCTGCTCCAGCTGCTGTCCTGCCAGAGGCATTTCTTCATGGAGAGCCTGGGAAGAGGTGGCAGTGCTACAGGGCTACAAAAGAGAGGAGCAAAACCACTTGAGATTTGGCTTTGGTCTCCTCGTAAGTAGGTCTGCTTGTATTTACTGGATAGTTTTGGTTTTGTTTCTTTTGATTGTTTATTTTTTTTTTTTTTTATTTTGAAGCAGAGGTTTTCCAGGGGAACCCAACCTCTTGGTTCCCAGATAGAAACGCTCAATATAAAATTCACATTAGACAGCAGCTGCAGCCAGCCGTGGTGGTTGCAGACTGAACAGACTTAGCTCACAAATCTGGGGTGTAAAAACCCACTTAACCATGTCACGGGCGTCAGGATGGGCTCCGTGATTTCTAGAAGCTGTAAGAAAGGCAGCCGCACCATTTGTTTTTGCTATTGGGTTATTTTTCAGCAGGCTCAGTCCTCTGATTGAATCATATACCACCCATATGGGAAAGGCACTGAGGTTTTGTGGCTGCAGGTTGTTCTGAGGTGGTAAGCAACGTACTGACAGGTATGTGTGATGCCCTTCATCTTACCTTTGTGGCTGCCGCAGGAGCTCTCTGGGAAAAGCACTAGCCAGCCCTGGGTATTTCTCATCCAGCTGGAGTTTCGCCACATTTTGACAAGGTGTTTGCCTCTTTGCTGGAAAACACATAGGAGCTGCAGGCCAGGAAAGCTTGAAACCCATTGCACTAGACTATTGAAGCAGAAACTCTCATTTTCTCCTCCATAATTACATTTGCTTTGCTCCAGGTTTGCACAACTCCCTCTTCAAAAGCTTTGGCGCTAGGCAGGGCTCCGTCCTTTCAAAACTTTCTAACCATTGCTCGATTTTGTCACCTTTCCCTTACTTTCCTGGGGGGACCAGACCGCTGTGCTCTGCACCCGCTGGCAGCACCCGTGCCCCGTGCGGGTCCTGCCGGGGCCCCGGTGCTGGGCGCATCCAGCAGCAGCACTGCGGGGGCTGCCGGTGCTGCGGGCAGCTGCTGCCATCTTCTGGCCTGAGCCGGGCTCGTTTCTGATCCACACGGACTGGGGCAGAAGCAGCAAATGCACTCGAGGTAATTGAGGTCACTCTATACATGCACGTGTGCACGTATAGTAGGTATAGGTACATGGCTGCTTGTATAGGTGAAGCAAGTGGTGGAACAAATAAGCTCTCACTTTTCCAATAGTACTTTTAAGGCTTAATTAATATCTATAGTGCACTCAAAATGTAAAAGTCAGATATAAGCCCCAAACCTTATTATGGGTTAAGGATGCTGCAAATTCCTTGGTTCCCACTGAAAACAGTCAAAGAAAACCTGCCACAATCTCTTTGGTTAGCTTTCTGCGTGTTTTATACATCAGCTTGCAAAAAAAAAAAAAAAAAAAAAAAAAAAAAAAAAAGGTCTGAAAACTACAGGCTCACTTGATATCAGCCACAAAGTCAAAGTTTGCAATCAGCAGGGCACTCAGCCTGCAGCAGTTTCTGCCCCAAGCTGGAAATTCAGGGCTCCAGTGCCCAGCACCAATTGCCCGGCCAAGTGGTTGATTTTGAGTGACTGTGAAGTCAAACCGCCAAATTGTATCTCCTCTTGAAAAGCCTCAAAACCAGTAAAGTTCTGAGATACAGAAGAATTGACAAAATAATGGTCTTGTTTACCATACACCAACTCAAATCATATTCCCAATATCCCAATTCACAATTCAAGCATCACTCAAACCTACTGCATTTAGTAGCTGCTGGAATTGCCATCATTTCCAGCCTTCTTCCTCCACTAGGTAACCTTCTCTGACAGCTTGGCTGAACCTGCACATCCAGGGAATCTGGGTCATTTATTGGTGGTTACAGGAATCTATGCCTGAAACTCCACTTGGTGAGCATAAGATGGTCAAGGTAAAATCATCAGTATGGAAAAACAGCAACACAGATTTACAAAGCTTTTCTTACCATCTAGTCTATCTCATGCTATCTCAGGCAACTGTGCCAAGTAATCCTGTTCTTAAATTCCCCGGGTCCTACTTTAAAACCAGTCTTTTTTATTATTTTTTTTTATTATTATTATTATTATTATTATTTTAACACAATTTCTCTCAGAATCCTTGTCTGCACATTCAAATATGGGATTTTCCTGCTTAATGAGATTGCAGCCTTACACACAGAATGTCAGATAGCCCGGAGTAAGGACTACTCTGAAGCACCTCTGAGGCTTTAAGTACAAATCTCTGACCTTTATCTAAAAGCCTTTTTCTTCTAAGAAAATTATTTTTGACGGTGGTTGCTAATACACAGCTTTCTGTATAAAAGCAGAATACACATGAGGGGCTTATGAGCTGTAGTCACTGTAACTCTTTGTAGCCAGACGGGTATTGCAAAATTCCCAGCTGGCAGCTCCTGAGACCAGTCCCTACCAGCTGCTGTCTGTGGCCCACCCAGTAAGACCCCAGCCCAGATGGGTCCTCTGGCATCTGCTTGAACCCAAGCTGAGGAAAAATGCCTGGTTTGGTCTCCTGACGACTGATGAACCTACATAATTCCTTTATTATGTTTCCAATATCTAACAGCTTGAATATTAGCTTTAGCATGTTGCACATGTAGTGCACTCAAGGAGAGGACTGGACACTAATGGACTTAACCTTTCTGCACCTAAATGCCTTACCAACAAGCCTGAAAAGAGTGTGCTATGTCAAATGCTGTGTAGCTACAAGAAACACCATTTTTTTATTGGACGTGTTCCTGTTGCTAAACTTTTCTTACATGGCACTTAAAAATACGTTATGCTTTCTTCATCAGAAAATGCTTCAGGCTATAGAGTTTCTTATGTAATGCATTAGGAAATGCACAGTGTGATAATGCAGTAGTAGAAGGGAGTCTTAATTGAGGTGGGATGGTGTGAGATAGCAAGGATGTACACATTGCAAACATCAGAGGAAGTCCCCACATTTTCAGAGTACAAAGTCACCCACAGCAACTCTTGTAAAAGGACTCAAAGTGCACATTAAACACAAACACTGCAGGAGCCATTCTTTTTCTTCCAGCTTTTTAATGTGACAGGGAGAACAAAAACAAAGTCCGTTGGAACAGCTGCAATTTCCAGTGACAACCAGACACAGATCAAATTAAAAAAAAAAAAAAAAAAGTTTTAAATGAAGAAAAGGAACCAAGGAACCAAGGGATTGGAATTGGCTATCTCACACACAGAGCTGACAGAACACCTAAATGAAACATTTCATTAAATGCACGACACCGGGTGTTATTTACAGGGGAACTTGCAGTGTGTGAACATTTACACAGCTCTAGCATTACATACAGCAAAAAAATTTCTTCATTTTGTTTCCTTCACAGTTCCCAGGCTTGATTCTTCCTAAAAGCAGCATTGGCTAATACAAGGGTGAGAAACCAAGGGAGAAACTTGATGGAAATATAATGCATGGGGCTCAAATCTACATAAACCTAAAAATATACTCTCAGGTTTTAGTGTCCTTTGGATAGTCAAAGGACATAAACAAGGACAGAAATTAATCTAGGATGTCCTTACCAGTGTCAGAGTATACTCTGTTGCTGGAAGTCTCAAAGCAGGACCTAGAAGAGACCTTAAGAAGTGCAGAAAGCTCAGCTCCGTGCAGCTTTGCTCTGTGCCGACGTGTGAACCCAGCCCAGGGGCCAGACAGCTCCCAGGCTCAGGGAACGTCCCTCACTGCATCTTTCCCCTGTCACCAAAGGACATTAGCTGAGGGACCTCTCCCCAGAGTGCAGAACATCTGTCTCTGGATGTGGGTTTTCATAGTGTGGCCCTTTTCTTAGTCCAGAAGATCCATACACTGCCGTTCATAAATCGCACAGCATTTCTGGGAGATGAAGATGGTACGGGCGAGCAGGGGGTCACCCCACCCAGCCCCAAGCAGTAGCCACCACCAGCAGGATGTGGTAGAATGAAATGTGACAGCAGAAGCAGTGCTGCACAACTGACGTTCAGGAAAAACAGTACATTAAATCAACAGGAATATAAGGAGGCAGAACTCTTATTGTAATACCACTGGTCTTGTACAATAGCAACAGTGCTTTCTGTTCCTCTAAATATCTGTTTCTGCGTGCTCAGGAACGCAGTAATGAACTGCTCCAGGGGCCCCATTACTCCACTGTATGGATGAAGACACCAGGACCCAGCAGGCTGGTTTGGGTTCCCTATACCCATCTCTTCCAAGCCACAAAGTCCCTGGTTGAGTGGCTGGACTGGCGTGCCACATATGCGTGAAGAGGTCCAACTGTCCTCTACAGGAGGTTTTTGGGATTTAAGGCAAGTCCCCTGTCTTGGTCCTCTGTGCCCTCATTGCTGAAAAGTTCACAAATCCGAGGAAATGGTGCTCAGTGAGGACTGTTATTGGGCTGTGATCAGCACTTTTCCTCTGCAGATGATCCAGTAATAGCAGAACTCCAAGACATGGAGACTTCACTGCGGCAAGTGTAGGCAGGGGGAACTGCTGGAGGAGGCAAGCTGGCCCTTGCAGTGCAGCCACAATGCTGATTTTACAGCAGAAACAAAGCTGAGCCATCAGAGGAGGTGCCCGACAAGAAACCTCCCCATGCACGGTGCTTCGGTGCCCCATGGCTTGGCCTCGGCCTAGCTGGTAGCGCACAGCCTGAAACTCGGAGCCAAACCAAAACTGAATGGCCACAGATGTTCACTATTTCGTGTAACTGGGAGTAATGGGAACCCTGGGTGATTAGTTTGAATTCAGACAGCTGACTTGTAGGTGTCTGAGGCTAGCTAATGTGGTTTCTCCTCAGCTTTTCATTTCTTCCTTCTCTGTTAACTGTGCCTCCTTTCCCAGGCCCTGGTGTACCAGCTGCAGTGTGTGTTTGCACTTTTGTAGCTGTTCATGAACTCCCTGGTCAAATATCAGGGATAGGAACATCATCAAGCCCCATACCCACTGTCCCCTAACTCCGAAGTGACCAACCCATGCATTTTAGTGTCACAGTTGCATGGGAACCAGGGTGACGCTGACTGCCAGATCCTATTGCTCTTTACCTTGCCCCAGCTAATCTCTCAGTCATGAGGTTTACCAGGCAGACCCTGTGAAGGACCCATTCTGCAAAGAAGAAAGTTTCCTAAGATTGGATAACATTTCATGATGTTACCTTACCATTTTCATCACCTTAAGACCTCAATTTCTTCTTTCTAAGGAAACCAATGGTGAAGTTTTGCAAAATAAGTGATGCCATTTTTGTAATTGTGCAGTGTCAATGGAGAACACAAACAATCAGGTTTGCTGTCAGAGCACTGGATATAGATGTAACTGAGAGTGCTTCATGGAATAAATAAAGATAAGTTCTGGCTCCACAGAGCAGCACAACAGAATAGTCCAGGCCATGAAACAAACCTTTTTTTCCCTGTAAATACAATGACTTAATGGGCATTCACAACCCAACAGAAAGAATGAAACATAGAGACCATGGAGATCTTTTGTGTTGAAACACATATTTAGCTGCTTTTTACCATGCAAAGGGATCAGACATTCTTAGAGAAAAAACACATTCTGGGCTGTGATTCTCAACAGAAGCTGTGAACCACTGCCAAAGGACATAATTACATTCACTCCTACCTCAGTGAAGGAACCTTGCTGTTTTGAAGACAAATCAGAAAAAAGGCCCTAAGCTACCCATAAAATGAGAAATGAGGCATAATAAGCCGGGCTATTAAAGCCGCTTGTGATTTTATCAATTTCATAAACCTCAGAGTAAATCTATAAAAATCCCAAATAGCCCATTGTAGCCTAGCTGCTCTTTAAGTGCTTATCCCCAGCTGACACAGTGACGAAAGTAATGCTGTTTAGACACTTTTTTCTCATCGGCAAGGATTTGCTTCTTGTGATCTCACCACACTTTGTGTCTTTCATCTGTCCTCTGCAGCGGTGCTGACACCGACTGCCACAGCTGCGCGGGGCTGGCCCTGGTGTGAGCTGTGGGTGTATGTGACTGCCTCTGTGCAGCTGAAGGCAGAGGTGGTAGACTTCAGTCCTGCTGGATTTCAGCCTAGCACTGTTTGATTTTCTTAAAAAAAAAAAAAAAAAAAAAAAAAAAAAAAAAAAAAGGAACCAATGAAAAGTAAAAAGGTCACTAGCAAAAGTACAAAATAACTCATAACTTTTAATGTCAGAAAATATCACGGTGAAACAAATTCCCTGCATTATGTGACTATTTCCCATTTCTACTCAATTCTGGTCTATGGCTGAGCTTGTTGAATGGGCCTAATTAGCACTATCTAGGTATTTCTGTGTGTTATTTAACAGTATACATTTCATTCCTGCTTCCCAAGAAAATATATCCAAAAATACACAGCTCACTTTGCTTTCAGGTGCAACAGAACTTAAGTTGTACAATATAAAGAGCATATGAAATTCAGAAAGAGTCTTTACAGGATATCAAACTTAACTGTCCCACTTAATGGAGAATTTAATGTTCTGTACAGTGAAAGCTTGCTGTGTGCATTCCCCATGTAGCAAGTTAAATGGCTATAAGTAACTGTGCTTACAGTGTTTCGATGAGACCCAAATATGTAAGAAAATGAAGCATCATATTCTTTAACTAATATGGCTAAAATGCTGGTAAATTCTCTGTTAACATACTCTAGGTATTAGACAAAAAGTCCTCTATTTACACTGGATAATATGTACACATTTGGTTTGTGGAATGCTCCAACATCATATTAATTTCTCCTCCATCTGAGTTTGTAGGAAAAAGATCTTTAGCATCATAGAAATATATACTCCCAGTCATCAATGCATTTATATATTTGGTGTCTGGTATAAAGAATGGTGTGTCATTAAGTTGGCCATAGCTCCAGATAAACTTGAATTAGTGGGAATAGTTTTTAGTGCCTCTCTTAAAGTCTTTTAAATAGTGCAGAAATTAAAAATTATAAATTTCACTAGCTGATCACTTCAATATATGCACATACATTTGCAAGTAAGTGTAAATACATCTATAGATATAAAATTATGTATATATTTCTCTCCCAGACCAAGAAGGTGCCTAGTGATTCTTTATGCCCAAGTGAAGACAGTAAGGGGCTTTGAGATAGTGAGTCTTCTAAGAGAGCTGAGCACCCACTCTCAAATCCTTCAGAAACGAGGATTCTCATTTTTTTCAAGTTGTAACCCCCAAATCAAGACAGCTAAGGACACATTTATAGCTCTTGTTCCTGTTGCTGGATCTGACCTATGATGGGTTTGTTACCTGCCTGCCATTTGGATGCCTTTTGTGTCTGAGCACAGCTTGTTTGAATTGCCAGGGAGTGCTCAGCAAGGCAGGCAGGCTCTCACAGCTCAGCTCAGGATCTGCTCACACCCCCGCAGGCATACGCACGCACACACAAAGCCCCTGTTCGTGTCTTGTGTCACTACACGGGGATGGGGAGGGAAAGGATAGGCTCCCAGTGTAGGCAGGATTAAACCCAAACAGCAAAGCTCTGCAGGGTGTGTGAAGTAGCTGCATGCACCAATCATGGCTGTAAAAGGGTCAGATACTAAGGGGCTTCATTTTATCCCTTTGGGCTCGTTCACCTCTGCTCCCTCTCTTTGAGGTATCGACAAAACAGTATAGAAAAGGACATTTTGATTTTTCCAAACATGGCTCCTTTTTCTTCTTCTTCTACGTCCACCCCTGACCCCCCTGGCCTCAGTTGCTCACATCAGGACCTGGTCTCGAGTCTCTGGCAGGCGCAAAGCGAGCAGGCCACCTCCAACCAGAGCAGAGGAAGCCAGGAGGATGGGAACCACCTTGGTTATCCCTACAAAGGAGGCAAAGATCGAGTTCCCCAGGATGGCACCAAACTTGCAAAGCCCATTGAGGATGCCAAAGGCTGTTGCCCTGTGGGGAAGAGAAACAGAAAGCAATGGTTAGGAGGGATGATCTTGGCATAACTACAGAAGATCTGGATGGATTATTTGTGAATGCTCTTATGTTTCCTAGGCTACGCTCCCAGCAAGTAAGCCAGCCAGAATAGATAGTAAATAAATAGATATCACTGTTTTGCATGTCTGTGTGTATGAGGAAAATGTCTGTGTGTACTCGTTTCTCTTCATTTTAACTTTTCCCTAGCTCTCGAGCTGCCCACTCTGACAGCCTTTGCCCTTCCCAAGGAAAGCAGGACCCAACCTGCTCTAGAACTTCTTAAAGCCCTTCCTAGCACTGGCTGGGGTGGGCTGCCACCAGAGCAACGGCCAGGTCTCTCCTCCTAACCCTGCTTCACCCAGAAGCTCAAAGCATGCTGTCTTCATAGCAGTCTTTCCCCTTCACTTCTCTCCCCAAGAGCTTGGAAAAGGCAAAAAAAAAAAGGTTTATAATGATGCTGGCAGGAAAGATGTCATCTGTAGCTTATTCCCCCAAAGTTTCCAATGCTACCTCATCTCCCACATCATTCTGTGCACGTGGTTGCCTCTTTGTTGTGAAGGGAAAGGCTGTCATGGTGATAAGCTAAGAAGAGAGGCTGGAGGACACAGTCTGAAGGGCCAGACCTCATGCACATACACAGAAATGATGTACTCTCCATAATTTATCTGCCTATAATCTCCATACCACCCCCACAACTCCCTGAGTACAAGCCATGGTGCAAGCAGAATTATGCTTGCAAATGGCTATGCTGATCCAGTATAGCCTCAGGACTACCAGGCTGTTGAGGTCTGCTTTATTTTATTTATTAAAATAAATAAAATACAATTCCCCCATCAATGTATCTAGAGTGAGCATTGGTCTTTTCCATCAGGGAAAGAGAGGACAGAGTCAGAGGGCCAAGAGTGGGAAGGAAAAAGACTCTAAGCACCTCTTATCTGTGGGGTAGAGCTCCACGGTGATCACATCCAGGGCGTTCCAGGCGGCAATGCTGGCCCCACAGAAGAGGCACTGCCAGCCGATCATCGCCGACTCGCTGTTGCCAAAAAAGAGGAAGAAGCAGCACACTGCAGAGATCAACATCGAGCCACCTGCGGGGGGAACCAGGAGAAAAATGTTGGCACCGGTTTCCCTCATCCGTGGCCGAGCTGCCACAGTGTTGATAAAGATGGCTTCTAAGTGACAACGCTTCACCCCGAAATGAATGAAATCTGCAAAAATCCAAAAATACTGTGATGCTGCCTATCTGTCACTGTGTGATGCTGGAAACCAGCCTGAAAATGTTCTCAATAACCATCTGATCATGCTGATATTCCTGCTCTACGGAGAGGTTGAAGACAGGCTTTTCCAGGCAGATTTCCAGCATCTCAGACTTCCAGATGGACCCAGGAAGAGTAGAGGCAAGTAAACATGAAAGCCAACGAGGAGGAAGAATCATGAAGGTTTTTCAACTTGAGTTTTGAGTGAAGAGCTAGAGCAATTCACATCTTATTGAAATCACTTGACACATTTCTAGACTCAATTAAGATAATTTACAGCCGATTGTAAGAAGCACTTGAGGTCTCTTTTAATTATAAGAACATCATTAGATTTCATGGCACATTTGCACAGGAGCTATAATTTTTTGAACGCCACTGAGGGAGAAAGTGAGAGCATTCATGCTCAGTTAGCCACAGTTCAGATTCAGGAATATTAATGGCTACATCACAGCCTTCTTTCCCAGTTGGGAATTTTCACCTGAAAGAAGCAATTTTGCAAAATCAAAGTCTCTTTCACTGGAAAGTTCTGTTGCTGCTGAAATATCTCCATTTACCACCAGGAAACCAAAGATTTTTTTTGATTTGTTTGAGGTTTTTAAAATCAGTTTGACACCAACCAAAATGATTCGGATGATGAACTGGAACTAAAATGCTTCATTTTGTATATTTAGTTATATTTTGCCACTGTGATGTTCTGCTTATGGAAAGCTACCATGCAGGACCCCTGCCCACTTCTTCTCCACAGCCAAACCACATCCCCCTCTGTGCAGTGCAGATATTTCCTCTGCTGCAGAGGTACAGTGCAGCATCAGGGTCACCGTGTGTGCCCCAGATCTGACATTCGGCACAGGAGAGGGTTTAGTGGAACACGATAAAACTGAACTGAAGTCCCAGTGAGGCACATAACACAAAAGAGAAATTCAGTTTTCACGTTAAGCTGACCAGAAATAATATGTTCAGCAGAGTGATACGGGTGGGATGCCAGAAGGCTGTTTCAATTGGAAATTCCATAGTGAAACGTTTCAGCATGTCGTTACCAATTTTTGTCCTGTACTTTTCATTCTGCAGAAGAAATAAGCATTTAGGTTTCCAGCTGTCATCTCAATTCCAGATGAAAATGCTGAAATGCTGACATGTCTGCAGGGTGGACAACCTGATTCTCATTCAGCTTTATTTAATTTATTTCCCACAGACCCACTGGTTTGTTTGGGTCTTTTCCAAATTCACTATGTGAAGGCTCATTGTGCCCTCCTGGTGTAAATTCTTGACACACTGATGAGATCATCTTCCTAACCTTTACCTGTCTGACAGCGAAGCTCAGCTAACTAAACTTCTGTCTGTTCCCAGAAGAAACAGGTGAGACACTCAAGAGAGTGTCTCATCCCTGATTTTACTAAGCTCACTTGTCTGTCCCTTGAGGCATGACTCCACAGCACCTGGCAAGAGAGCAAGGTCTGAACCCTGGAGCAAGCAACACTAGAAATTCCCAAAGTAATCAGAAGTTGATAAGGTGATAACTTAGTCCCGTATGTCTAAAGGGTGGCAACTTGCTTGGATGTGACATGGGCAATTAATCTACCATATGTTTCCTGAAGCTCTTTTTAAAATAATTTGAAGATCAGAAACCTCAAAGATGGATCTCCTAGGCTGTCAAACAGCCACAGCAAGTAATTGTTGTGATTTTTCATCACTACAAGCAAAACGTGTTATTTATTTATACAGAACGTTGCAGAAACCAGCACCAACTGCACAGCACCAGGTGGTCCTGCTTCAGCACAGACCTCGACAGACCACTCACCGATCATCTTTATCCTCCCTATTTTGTCCATGAGCAATGCAGAGATGATGTTACCCGGCAGCACGGACAGGCTGCCCAGGAAGCTGACCAGGTAGATCAGGAAATCATTGTCTTCCTCGAAGTCCATGTGGCAGCCTTCCTTCTCCTTCAGAAACGTGCTGTTTATGAGCCTGCAGTTGATGAATTTGTGTTCGTAGAGATCTGCAAGAGAAAGAGGCAAAGTCTTGATCCTGCTCAGCTGATCTCCCTTCATACAGCAAGGAGTCAGGCTCAAAACTAACTTAAAGGTCTCAGAGATGCTCCTCAATAAATGGAAATGGCCAGGGAGTTTTTATTTTAGTGACAAACTTTACCTTCATGCCTGATAGCTGGTGGCATATTTAATTTCTGGAATGACCTGGACCAGTACCCCTATGCCACATGGATGGGGCAAAGCAGACTCTCACTTTAATGGCATTATGGTTTGTTCTCTATTAGAATAGAAATTAAAAGCTTTTGCAGGACAAATTAATGAATATTTTATTATCTGTAATCAACAAACCAAAAGTTGAATATGAATTAAAGACGGAACTAAAAATTATATTTTAAGCCAAATTTGTTGGATCAAGCTTTTAAACTGCTAGGCATTTTGCCACTACTTTAATGTGCCGAGGCCTGAGCACAGACTTTTGCATTTCCTTTTCAGTAGCAAATGAGACCAGAAGCCATGTAGATAAAAACACTGGGAGCGACCTGGAGCATCCTTCCAAATGTAGCAACAGATACATTGAATTAAGCAAGAAACAGAACCTGAACCACAGATGGGAGCAGCCTCAGCCCTCGGGGCAATGCTAGTGGAGGCACACTTTTCTTTTTTTTTTTTTTTTGGCAGGCTGATGCCTACATGGGAAACTAAACTCAGTCTGTGAGAAAAGAAATATATCTAGCTAAACCATAAGGCAAAAGCACTGCCAGCACCACCCTGGCCAACCAACCATAAAGCTAAGACAGCACTAGTCCCTTATAGCCTGCCTTCACCCTCCTTTTTCCATCACCACTCTCATTAGCCAGTGCATACACACACAGATCCCTATCATCCTTCCTCCCAGAATCTGATTAAATGGTTCCTAATTACAGGGATGAAACCATATCAGGAATCCCATTACCAGTGTTATAAAAGACAGTAGAGATGATGGTGCAGTTTTCAAAGAAGGTCTCACTGGACGTCACGTCTTCAAAGTAGCATTCCTCAAACAACGAGTCCTCAAATCTCACTTCTTTGAATTTCATGCCGATAAATCTGGGGGGCAGGAAGCAGAAGTTTGTACTTTGAGGTATTTCCTACATTATATAACATGTTTCAAGAGACAGCACTGATGATAATTTCTACTGTCATTTACAGGAAAGGTTTTGCTTAAATGTGTAACTGACCTTCCAACAAAATGCTTTTGTATTTTATTAGGAAAGAGGGGTTTGAAGACATTTTTTAAGAGATGGCTCGAGATGGCTCTTACGGAATTTCTGGCAGTTTTCCTATTCCTCAAAGTAGTGACCAAAAAAAAATTTAAAAAAAAAAAAAGTGCTTTTAAAACCCAGTTGATACAAATCCTCCCATTTTCAATGCTCGGTCTCACCCAGTGCATGCCATTTTCTTTGGCAGTTGACCTTCCTGCCTTCTTTATTCTGCCCCTTCCTCAAGCAGAAATAAAAACAGACATTATCAGGAGCCCATTTGGTGAAAGGTTTCTGACAGCTGTTTAAACTCAAAGTGATTTTTAAAGCAAAATTGCTGTAAGCTTTCTAGAGGGAGCAGGAAGATTATGGGTACTGCTTGTAACCATCTCTGTTCGAGGACTGTTGCATATCGTGTAAAGAAAACAGATTACTTTAAAAATAATCAACAGTGTCAGATGATTGATTTCTCCTCTGATGGGAAGCTTGACATGTCTGACCTGCCTGCCTGAAGGATGACACAATATTGATTTACCTGTGAGATTTTGCAGGGACATTGGGAAGATGTATTAGTTAATGCACAGACATGTTTGGAAGATGTAAGAGGTATTAAGTGCAAGCATTATAGCTCTAGCTGAGGACGCCACAACTGTCACCAAATAAAAAGGCTTCATAACATATGCCCAGAAACATAATTGAATTGAGCACTTACAAGACACGCTAACATGATGGCTATTTACACCATTAAGTGAACACTGCAGGACTTCTTAACCGAGACTACTAACAGATATTATTAATGTTCAAAATATAACAAGAAGACTACTCAAGTCTTTTGCATCATGTAGAAGGTCTCACAGGTTACAGCAACACTTCAGCTGTTCTGCATTTGCCCAGTAATAGCCTGTGATGTATTTACTCACAAAGGCTGTTAGAAGTCCTTTGCCTGCAGTTTGCTTTCTTAACATCTGTCTTTAAAAGAGTCACACAGCAATGGCCTGGTGTTCAATGGAGTTTTAACGTACAGTCAAGGGCTAGAGGCAAAACGGATCTATAAATCATGAGATATGTTCTGGATGTTGCAGGAATGTAGCTTAATCAAGTTTGAGTTATTAAACTGGAGAGGACGAAGGCAGGAATATAGTGATATACATCACAGTTTTATATGTTCATCCTGGAAGGTGCTGAGCATCCTCAGTTCCAGTTGAAGAATAAATTAATAAATCATTTTGTAACAGTGAACGCCCTGTATGTTCCCCCCATAGTGCAAGGATGTGGAGTAACAACACCCTGTCTAGGCCCTCTGGGGCAATGGGATCACCACAAAATTTACATAGGGGTATTTTCCTACCCATTAGATTGGGATTTAGAAAAGTAAAAATGTCCTGCTACAAATCACTAGGGTTTATATTGCTGTGATTGAGGTCAGGCTGGATGCAGAATAAAAACCCAGGCCCAGCCCAAAAAGAAGAAGGGGAAGGAAGCAATGATGTTCTCCTAGAGTACCTTCTCTGACTTCAGAGCACTAAAAGAGAAGGTGACAGGTTGTGGGGAGATGCTGGCCAGCGCACCAGTGCAACTGGCCATGGCACAGCTCATGCTACTGGGCTGCAGGATGGAGACTCAGGTAAGTCATACCAAGGACTTCAGCGCAACACAGCTTTTTATTTTCAAAAAAAGTTTTAAGTGGTGGGCTCTGCTGCCCAAGACCAGTAGATGTCAGTGTGTGCTAAGCAAAGAAAATCACAGCTGCATCCTGAGCTGCCCAGCTCCCAGTAAGGGCGCTACTGGAAGCAGGACACCTCGGATGGATCCCACTGGGCCTGGAGATGTGAGTGGCTCAGGCAGTGTGTGTGAAAAGCAGGATAAAAAGGACATTTGCTCTGTGGATAACTAATAAAAAAGAACTTTCCAAAAATTAATTTCAGTTACTTTGCAATCAGGGTTAGTTCCTAAAACTGTATGTGTGTTTTGGTGGATGTCATCCCCACATCTGCTCATGCCCTCTTCCCTGTCAGCATCAATCGAATCAATTTCTGTTCACTTACTTATCGTTTCTGTATTCCCCGTTTCTATGGATCTGGTTTTCCAGGGTGAAATTAAAGGTAAAGTGTGACACTTCTTCCTCATCAAAGATCTTCACTCGGGATTCGTATTCCTCCTCTTGGAAATACCGGATCATGTCGGGGAACCAGACAATAAGGCCATAGTAACTAAAGGAAAATGGGAGAAATACATTAGGGATACAGGATCCTAGCACTGAAAATACTGCAGTGCTTTTCCCAAACATCTACTTCATAACTTGTAAACCTGTTAAATTCATAATACAAATGCAATTCTGACTGAAATTCTTGCATAACTCTGACATAGGACCAAGCAAAATATCTCCCTACTCTAAAATGCTGCTCTTAGAAGTATGTTGGTCCATTTTTGTTCACCTAAAGCAGGGCAACTCATTTAAATTTTAGTGACATTGACATCTGAGCCAGAAAATACAACAATATTCTGTCCTTGCTGCCCAAGAGACCAGCAGAGCAGCAAGAAATCTGGAAACTTCCCCTGGAAAGGAGATTAATGCAAGTGTGAGAGTATAGAGGGATTTAGCTAAAATTTACTTGTAGATTAGATTTGAGCTAACCTGAATAGTTTTGGTTTAGACTGATATACTGCTAGAAGCAGGTAGTTTTTTTATTTGTTTGGTTTTGTTTTGTTTTGTGGACAAAATTAAATGAAAGGACTAAAAGTCAGAAAGTACTACTGCCCCACTGACTTCTCAAGTCCTGACTTGTTCAAAGCACCTTGTGTTCACATAAAGGCAATCAAATTGATCAATAGTTCATCAGAGACAAAGCTTAGTAGAAAAACGCTCTTTAAAGTAATACCAGGATTAATATTGCAATTGTTTATTTAAATGTACCAATAATTATTCATACTCTGAGAGCCCTCTAATTTCCTGAAAATGTTGAAGTGCCTTACCTTAAGGCCATAGTAAACCAAACCACAGCCAGAATCAGTGTGTTCATCCTGTACTGGGCTGTTAAGCAATATAGCACGTTGTCCCAGACCTACAAATCCATAAGAAAGAATTATCTACAAGGAAATTCTCACAGAGACTCAAAAGATTAATTTCTGAGTGCATCATAAATTTAATGTTGTCAGTAAAAAAGGCTTACTAGGGGAAGGTCAGATGCATGTCTTATATTCAGTGTTAGTTCAAATTCATGTTTATTGAGATAAATGGTTTACAGAAAGATCACACATTCAGCTGTGTGCCAGGGTACTTGATCTGAACACTCTGTAATGAGCTGGAGTGCCTGATGAGGGCTGGCTCAGATGACACAGTGTGCCCCTCAGCCTGCACCAGTAAATGTGGCTATGAACCTGTTCTCAGACCCTCTGACAATTTTGTCATTTCATGTATAAGTACGACCTCAGGAGTACTGTCAAACCAAGCTCCAAAGCTCATTGAAGAGCAAAAATCCAAATTAAGTTGGCACTTTAAGAGGGGTACAATGAACTTGGGTGGGGATGAAGCCAAGCAGAGCAGGATAGAAAACAGGATCTGCTTTTCTTGACCTACTGCAGGAATTACTGCCAGAAACATACAGGAACATAATTCCTCATGCTCCTAACTTGACACATCAATATAGCATAAGCCCACATTGCTATTAATTAAGAAGGACACTCCTTTACTTTAAGCTCATTCTCCTAGACTGGAATCATCCAACAAGATTTTCCGCAAAGTTCTACATCTGTGAAGGGTTAAATTAGCTGAAGAGATAATGTAAAGCTGTTAGAAACTCAGTCTCAGCAGGAGCAAGGAACAAGCACTCACGAATCCACTGCAGGAGGCAAATTCACTTAGGCTTGGGGGAGAGGAATCGATATCTGAAGGAGAGTCAAGTGCTTGGGGCTGTGGCTGGGAGCTCTGCCATTAGCACAGCGTGATTGCCTTGCTGGGCACAGGGGCATTTCGGGGCCTGGCTGCCAGTGTGGCATCTTTCATGTGCTCATATCTATATAGAAAGTACAATCCGACTACAGCCCTTTGCAAGCAGTGTCAGGTTTTTGAGAGAGAGTTACGGTTTCAAGACACAATGACCTGAGGCAATGAGGCACTGGAGCTCCAAGCTCAAAAGTCCCTGTGGGATGTTTTATTTTCTCTTTACCTGTTTGAAAGTGGTTGTGATTCTGACCAGCCACCGCTGGTACCAGGTCCCTGTTGAGCTCTGGATTTCAATAAACTCATCTACTTGCTTTGGGGTTTTGATGTAGGAAACCTAAGAGAGAGAGAGAAAAATAATTTGGACCAAAGTTTACAGAACTGATATTGGATGGATATTAAACTCTGCTGTCTTCTAGATCATGTTTCCATGTGATATCCCTTACTATCTTTTTCTTGAAAGTTATCACTAGAAAGAGTGTTAATTCATTTATTTATAACATGAGATTTTATTATAGGAAAAAGCTTTCCTGCTAACCCTCCTTCCTTACTGTCCTCCTTCCCTCCATCCTTTCTCTTTTATTTCTCTGCTTCCCTGAAGTATTTAAAGTGCACCACTTCCACTTCAGTCTTTCACATATTGGTTAACGTGCCTGTGCTCTACGTTATTTCTGCATCCCTTAGATTCCCTCTAGGAATTAGGATCAGACAATTGCAGTAAAATATATCTTCATGATCAGCCACTTGCATCTACATCAAACTGTGTCCCTAGGATCTCCTTTTCTATCACAACTGGCAGGAGCATTTCTCATTTAGCACCTTTTCAGTACCCCTGGCAGAACCTTTGTGACAAATGAACAAGTAGATGGGAGCCTTTTAATCTGAAAATGCCTTCGCTCATGAGGTGAGCAATCAGTTCGCTCCACCAAAACAGCCTGAATTTTCAGCACTGAACACCTTAACTGAGCTGCTCAAGAAACCTTAAAAACAAGTCTTGGAAAATGTTTGCCCAGTAACTTTAAATAAAATATATGCTCAAGAAAACCATGATCGGTTTGTAAATACAAGAAGGAGGTGAAAATTTACTGAATAAATTTCCGAGTGTGAATGAGCTGCTTGGCTCAGCTGCGGAGTCTCTGTGTTCCTCTTGCTGGCACTGCTTAAATGTCAGCTCCGGGAGCTGTCCTGGTTACAGCTGACTCACCACAAACTGGCAACTTCTGACCTATCAGATAAACCCAAAATCCAACAGTTTGTACTACACCAGCCGAATCGATCCTCTGCCTGTGCCAGTGGCTGCCAGTCAGTCTCAGTTCAGCCGAGGCACCGTGCCTCGAGGTGCAACGCTCAGCTCTGCCCAGCCCGTGGTGGTTGGATGGAGCAATGAGCACAACCCAGTGCTGTACAGCTGCTCCTTGGGTCTCCCACACGGCTCAGACTCTCACAGTGCCCTACCTACAGATATATACATTTTTAAGCCTCTCTCCTCATGGATAAGCAGCAGACTGGCCAGCCCGATGCAGCATTACAGGAAAGCCAGGTAGGCATTTAGAGTCGCTGGGCTCTCTCTCACCTCTGCTACCTCACAGCAGTCTGATGGGCTAAAAATAGCACATGCTCATTAAGGTCCTATTTGAACTGCATGCAATTGTCAGGTAGGGAAATTAATCTTTTATGTTCTCGAAGGATCATTCCTGAGGGGCACTGCTTCATGACAATCCTTCTGAACAGGGAGCCTGGCCCAAATTTTTGTTTGAAAAGATATGTTTTACATACATATATAACTCCTTTTCTTCCTTCTTTCTATCTTCCAAGAGCATGCATCTTCTTATCTTTAAAAGCATAAATCAGGAGCTATTCCCCAGCTGTCTCACTGGGAGTTCACAACTGAATTACAGTAATTTGCAACTAACCCCAGCATACACCTTTTACCTGATTTTGCTATAAACCAAGACCCCTGGTGTGACCTTATTTGCAACAGGCAGCAGACTAATGAGTAGTAATCACTCTTCTTGCTTTCTCTTGGAGACTTTTAAAGATGGGGAATGAGGCAGATGGAGTTTGGAAGCTCATTAGAAGGTACATGAGGTTTAATCAGAGTTTGATTAGAAGCCGGAATGGATAAAGGAGTGACTCAGATCTCCCACATGACTAATATCACTCTTACTCGGTTTTAGTCTCTTAGAGCAGACCAATTAAGTGCATATGTAATTGGAAAATCACTGTTCTATACAATGTAGTGGAACATCAGGAATGAAGAGTATTCACAGCAATTCAAAGGATTGATTGATTCTTGAAAAAACAGGCTGGCACCTAACCTTAAATGCATGAAGTGCATCTCAGAGCCCTGATGGCTGGGGGTGGTCGCACTGAAAGGGAGGCTCCCAAGGAAGAATAAGCTGGTGCTGTGCTGCACCAAGGAAATTATGTCCTGCTTTTCTTTTTAAATGGCAGTGGCTTTGTAAAACTCACCGTAAACACCCTCTCTGGCTCGCCCTTGGCCCGCATGTTGGTATCATGAACATGCTTGAGGATCATCCAGGCTTCGTCATGCTTGCCCATCTGGAAACATCAAGGAAAAGGAAAATAAATGTTGCAATTCCCAGCTGTGTAATTCAAAAAAGTGTAGAGAGAAATCAAAAGGTCAAATACACTGGAGAACACCCGTATGGCTTGGCTGAGTTAAGGGCAAAGAGCTAGAAGTGTGGTTTGTACGCACAGTGCAGCATTTCTGTGCTGGGAAAAGGAGTTACCCAAAACTGTCTGGGGCAGGAGAGGAGTCAGGAACAGAGCATTATGTCCATATCAGAGAAGAGAAGATGTGTGAGGAGACCTGGGCTCTACTCCCACCTCTGACTTGCAGGGGCTGTCATTTGTGTTTCCACCAGCATTTACTAGTTACGTGCCCAGACTTTGTGAGATTGTTTTCAAAATGCCTTGGTTGGGCTTATAAAATTCTTGGCGCCCAGCACCTTCTTCCTATGCCACATTCACCAGTAAAGCACTGGCCATCGTTGATTAACCCCATATTCTGCAGTCTTTGGGGTTGAAGCAATTTGTGGAGCTACTTTAGATGTGTAGGGCCACTTTTGCCTCTATGCTTGTGCTGTGTGTGTTTGAAGGGGCAAAGAGAGAGAGATGGTGACACGCTATCACCAGCTATCCTCTGCTCATACCAGGCTGCAACGTTCACATGAATCATCTTACCTCCAGCAAAAACCGCGGGCTTTCAGGCATGAATTTCAGTGCCACCAGGGAGGCGATGCAGGGCAGAGAGCAGACAAGAACAAAGACTCTCCAGCTGTGGAAGTGGTACTTGGTTCCCATACTGAACCCCCAGCCTGGAAACAGCAACAGCCAACAGGTGAAGACACTAAATGGGGAGCCTGATTTTTCTCTCCTAAAGCAGCTCTGAACCCTACAGCTCTGCATGACATGGGGACAGGTTGACAGTTTGCTATTCTTAGTAATGATGGCTTTTAGAGGCTCGATAGCATGTTCAGCAGATAATAGCAAGAGAGTTCACGTTCATTACAGAAAATGAAACATCCTTGCTCAGGCTCTGCCATTTAAAAATCTTTTATCTTTGTGTTTAGAAATCATCTAACAATACAAATAGCTCTATGCAGATGTAAGCAAGTAAGACTGGGAAAGGGTAGAGGAATCAGGCCATAATTTATGGCTTCTGAGTACTGTTACAGAAAATTTACAAAGGCTAAATCTTCTCTGATCTGACAGGCATGTTAGAAGCATCTCTTTTTCTTCTCATACCTCACACGCATACTTCACTTTTTATGGAAGCAAGCTAGGAAAGCAAGGTGATTCTTTTTCCAGAACTACAAAAACTGGGTTGAGATTCATACTCAGAAGATCAAGATCCTAATCCAGCATTTAGGATTCCTCCTCTCCCCCTTTTTCCCTGATGTTTGACCAGGTCAGTATTCCCCTGACAAGGAGCAGAAAGTACGCGATCATTCTTATGTTGCTCCATTAACAAACTGCACTGATGTAGATACTTTCTTAAAATAAAACAAAAGGCAATTAAAGAAAAAAAAATAAAAAAGGAAAAAAATTGAATATAAGCTTTTTTTTTTTTTCCTTAGTTTACTTTTCCTAGATACAAAATTAATAAAGAACATTTACTTTATTTTTTTTTTTTCTATAGACATTTTTATTCATGTGGTAATGAAATAATCAGGCAATAGCTTTTGCAGAGTTCTCACATGAACCAGTCACGGTGCTCTAATCCTTTCCTCAGGTTCCAAAATAGCAGGGAACCTTGGGAAATCAAAAAGAGAAAATACAAAAACACAGCACCAAAAGAAAATCTGAAAAATAACTGTAAATACATACTTTTTTTTTTAAAAAAAAAAAGCAGTGTGTTTACAAATAATAAAAAATACATACTACAGCCTGACATTGCTATGCAGTAACTTTGCATTTTTGTTCCAACAGCCTCTGTCATATTGATTACAAACATGAACTTTATACTGATTGTGTTTTAAACATAATAAAACCAGATTGATAGATGCATAAACATTAGTGTTTTTCTTCATGGTCTTTGTGGCCTGCCCTACTTTCCTCTAGCAGGATTTTGCAGACAGCTGCTGTCACTGAATACCGAGGGAATTAATCTTTTCCAGGAGACATTTGCTTCCGATGTTTTCCTGGGGCATGCACACAAGTTGGGAGGAGTTGCCCCATCACAAGCAAGCTTTGCTTCTTAGAGCACTATCGCAGCTCACAGCTCACCCATCGACTTTTTCTCTCCCACTTGCAGCTCCGTGCAGGGAACCCACCCACCCCTGGGCTCCGCTAGGTGAAGCTAGACATGACTTCAGTCCGTGGCACGCCGGAGAGATGTGTCACCAGATACACAGATACACAGCAGCCCTGAGACTGCTGACACTTGGCTGAGGAAAAGAACATGTGCTGTCCTTACCGCTAACGTTCACAGCACCCAGTAACTCCCCCATTAAAGTTACTTACTTTTGACAACCGGATCAATTTTTTTGCAATATAATCTCAGTCCAGTTTTCGCTTACTACACCGTCCTTTTGATTAACTGCTCGGGCTCTGGAGATATAATTCCTGCAGTGTATTTGAGGCTTTTGAGGCAAAACAACCTTCACATGAAGCAATCTCTCTTACAACCTTAGCATCAGCCAAGCAATCAATCAAAACATTTATCAGCCCCTTTGTGTGCACTTCAGGTATCTATTATTTTCAGTTTTGTTCATCCTGGGCTGTGTAAGGACTGACTAATGTCATCTGTGTGGGATTTTGGAGTAGCGTAGTGTTGCAGGAAGGTGACGTTGCCAAAAGTCAAAAGCACAAAACAGTTACCGTAATGGGGGATGATGCTCCAAGCCATTGCTGAAGCAAAAATGCCACCGATCATCCAGAACATGCAAAGCCAGCTCAGGTGCTCCCCCCTCTTCTCACGAGACAGGAATTCAGAGAAATAGGCAAACACAATGGGGAGGGATCCCCCGATACTGAGGAGAAAAAACAGCACATGAGAAAAATGAGTCTTCAATGTCACGTAGTTGGGATTGTTTGTGTTAAAAGGGAAGGGCACACCTACAGATGTGCTGCACAAAATGCTGTGCAGGAAAAACACTAATCTCTTTTTGGCTGGACTGGTCTTAGATATCTACAATAAACAATTTCCTTGTTATCTCTGAAAGCTGCATTTAATGCCCAGTTTGTATAAAGCCCTGGCAACCGTGACTGCCAACTGAGGTGGGCATTGATCAGTCTCCCTGGCCTTTATGCACAATTTGGCAGTACCAGAAAAAAATGTTAATGACCAAACCTTCTTGCTGATTAAGCTTTCAGGGTCAAGAGCGAGAAAACACAAGCTCATGTGCTAAACCACAGTGTCCCCCCTGGCTTGGTACCAGAGATACATCACCCCATCTGCCTTCCTCGCCCACCCTGCACCCCTGGGTGCTGCTCAGGAGCAGCTGAGCTGTGACGGGACTCCTCCAGGACATGGGACAGATCCACCTGCTACCCACCCGAGGCCTGAGATAAGGCGGCAGAAGAGGAAGAATCCGTATCCCTGGACAAAGGAGGAGAGGAACGCGAAGGCAGCATTGATTGAAAGTGATATGATGAGGCATTTCTTTCTTCCCAGTTTGTCGGCCAGGCCACCCAGCATGACGGCCCCCACCATCATCCCTAGGTAGACTATCAAGCCTAGAAGAGAGGGAGAGAAACAGTGAGTTTGGTAACACCCGATCGCCTGTTTGCCATGTGAAAATCCTTTGCTGCTCCATACGTGGCCAACATCAGCTGCTGTTCCCCCAGATCACAGCCAGCTACCTCCTGAGAGGGAAATGAGGATGGAAATACCACTGAGGGTCTGTGTGCCTCACAGATATTCTGGCCATTTCAATGGCAGGCCAAACTTGTCAGGAACCAGAATACATAATGCAGAGTGAGACCTGCCCCAGCCGGGCTCTGCATACTCTTATGACTTCTTTTTTTCCAAAAAATTACAAAGACAAGGCTTTTAAAAAGCAGTGCATGAATTTAAACAGAAATACATTCAGGCTTATTAAAAAAGCCCTTTGCATTTTGCAGGTGTCATTAGGAGACACTGTTACTGCTCCAAGTAATGATCATTAATATTTCCAAATGAATAAAATAAAGGCTGTTCCAAAATCTAACACTCTCCTGTAACTGTCACATGTAACTGTGTTCATCCCTTTTAGGCTTTGCACCTGGGGAGTCAGCATAACCTGTTCTGAACCCAGGGCTGATGCTGGGAATTTCTACATGAAGCTTAAAAGCTGCCCCTACACTGCACACTGCAGTGAAGAACAGTACCCCCATTCTCCCCAAATTAGCCATCTCAGATGAAAGAACCTCTATCCTTTGGCAGAACCTAATTTCCCCATTTATTTGCCCATGACCTTTCACTGCTCCCTACAGCATCACATCTTACAGTACGGATATACCCTCATCTGACCATCTGACCAGACCCACATCTTTCTTTCCCAGCCTCTCTGCTCACATATCCCCGCACGTAAGCAATGGCCAGGCATAAGCAGCTTAGGGTGCACGTGTCCCAGCTGTGTGCCACCACCGGCACAACAGAAGTCTGATGTCTTATCTCTGCTAACCCCTCTGAGTGCAACAGGACTGAGGATGTGCAAGGAGGAGGCTCTCTGGCTGCTGTTTATACACAGAAGCCATGAGAGAAGAGACTGCTAAAGCAGGGATAAATCCCTTTGCAGGTTGTCTACCCTGCCCATGCTTCCTTTGGAGAAATAAAATAATAAAAAAAATCTCTTTCACTCGCTGCTTCTCCTAGCACTACATGAAAGGATCAGTCTGGTACTGATCTGACCTGAGTAGCACAGGTACTTCATTCACTACTGCGCCAAGATCTGATGTCTAAGAGAGCAGAGTCTTTATCTGAACGTTTCAGGAGAAGGAAGAACCTACTGCTTGTCTTGATAGTTTGCTCTATGGAGTAACCACTCTGACATTGCTAAGAAAAACGGGTTCTTTTTTTAACTCAACTTCATTAGATCTTCTATCATGGGGTCTTCAAGAGACAGTTTTTGTGAACACATTGAAGGCAGACTGAATAGGAGAGAATGGTTTTCTTCTCCAAATAGGCTCCTTGTATCTACCTCACTTTGTTCCTGCAACTCCGGCCTAAAGAAACAGGCAGTTTCCATGGCTCTTCTACCAAGAACAACACTGGAATGGCCATTTATTATTTTACCTTTATTTTCATTTATTTTATCTAATTTCAAGATTTAGAGATGTCACTGAGCAAGAACATTCCACAAGCTATGGTTCTTTTGCTGGCAACATTCCTGTTGAAGCCTGCAGGAGTTACAAAGTGAAAGGACGGCAGGATCAGATATTAAATATTTAAAATCTAATAGCAGTCAATGCTGCAGGGGTTAGAAAAACTGATCAGCTACAGTGAAAAGTTTTATACTGCAGATAGGGATAGCATCTGGGAATTGATTAGCCCAGCAGTTAGTAGCAAATGGACCAGGTGCTTGAACTACATGTAAGGATGGAAGGGGTCAGGCAGGAGCATGTGTCTCCAAAGCTCTTTGGAGGGTCAGTCCACACCTTGATCCAAGTGCTGAGTTCTCTTGAAATCCAACATCTCTCCCAGGACCTGTTTTGTTGAAGTCATCACTTGGGAAATAAGGGTGATGATGAATATTTTTGTGATTCATTAATGTTATAGCAAGACAATCAGTCTGATGGCCAAAGCCTGTTTTGTACCATCCAGCAAAGCTAGCTAAGGACCAACGCAGAGAGGTACTTGGCAGCTGATTCTGTCTTTCTTTTGCTTGCAAATGCCTGCACTAGATGTAAAATACATTACCAAATTAAAAGCTATGCAAGAGAGCCACTGCGGCATTCTGAAGGATGCTTGTCTCACACTGATCACAGGTGGCAAAGTTCAGACTCTGAAACACCTTGAAACACGTAGCAGGATGGTGGGATCACCTCTCAGGGAACAGTTCTGCTTTCTTTTCTATCCACACAATGTCTATTGGAAATCAGGATTTTGTGTGTCAAAGGCAAAGGACTGGTATATTCTAGCCCCTTAACAGACATTATACCAGAGCAGGGGTGTGGGATTTTGCCAGTGTGGTTGTCCATCCACGGTGAGCGCTCAGCTCTGTGAGGTCCATACCCTGCTCAGTGCCTGCCCTGCTCAGCCCAGCTGCCCTGCCAGGGGCAGCTGAGGGTGTGCAAGTCCAGAGAGTCACCTGCAGCCCTCAGAGACAACAGACACACAGCTGGAGGCCTGGGATCTCTTTCTCTATTAGATTTGGGCTCCTGCTTGTTCACTCAAGTGCAAATTACAAGGGAGAGCTGAGGAAAAAAAAAAAAAAAAGCTTTCAATCCAAAATCTTTCTGAAGGAAGAACCTTAATGCAGTGCCGTGAGGCTTAATGCTTTGCCCTGGCTCCTGAGCTACATCTGATGGAGCAGTGCTGAGGGCAGCCAGCAGCCAGAAGTGAAGATGCACCCTGTACATCACAGCCACCACCTGGCAGCGAGCCCTGCCAGCATGGAGCACACAGTTCAGCCCACATCACCAGACCCCAAAGAATTTTAAAAAAAAAAAAAGGATCTGCCTATATATACACATATAAGGGTGTTTTTATTGTTGCTGTTGTTGCTGCTCTTCTTTTTTTTCTTTTTTTCTGAGAAAATCCCTGAATGGCAGATGTTGATCCAAAGCCTCTTAACAACAGAAAAGGTCCCGCATTAGGAGGAGGTGGAGGATGTTGTTGCTGTCTTCTAGTCTGGGATTTTTTACAGCCAAGTGCCCTAGCTGGTGCAAGGCAGCCAGCTCTGTCCAGAGCTCAACAACCTCCCAGCTCCGAGGAAAGAGAGGATGCTCCATGGAGATGGGATTGGAGTTCAGGAGTTGGGTTTGACTTTGTCTTTAGTGTAATTTGCCTCATTGATGGTGACCACAAGGATGTGGTGAATATAAACCTTCCTGTGTCTGCCATCTTGCAGTAACTTGTGTTAAATCCACTCATCAGATCAACAGCCTGTGCTCCCCAGAGCTTAACACATCCACCAAGCCCTGAGAAGTGTAAAAATCTGCGGATAGACAGTTTGGAGACAGGGCAGTTAAAATGCTTCACGTCTAATTCACAGTGCCCAGAACAGAGCAGATGCAGCAAAAAGTTCCCCCTAATCAGGAGCACAAAGAGGGGGCTGATCATGGGGAGATTTCTCAGGTTTTCTCAAGTTGTATTCAGTATTCCCAAAGACTCAGCTAGCTCGGACTCCCCTTCCTCCAGGAGCCTAAACTCGTGATGGGAGGGAAGATTAAACCTCTGCCACACAGCGTCCATCAAACAGCTAGCAGCATAAAACACAGCAGAGCTGTTAATATCAATAACTCACTAAGAGCACGTGGCCTTAATTGGTTATTGTTCGTGATGAGCCAACGGATGCATTGTCCCCTAGAAACTTAAAGCAATGAAAATCTTCAGTAAAGGGAGCCTGAGGGATGACCAGGGACTGTTAGCTCAGCCAGTTTCTGAGGGGAAGGATGCTGGTTAGATAAATGTTTTCTCCAGGGCTGAAACAAAATCAGCAGGGCGCTTTATTGTGATGGAAAGGTCCCTTCTGGGAAGACTGCGTGTTCCAGCTGATATTACTAAACCTTCTTTTGGGGCAGCTGCAATAAAACGCTCCATCCGCTAACAGATCTTGAGGCCCAAGGTACAGAACAACCTCAGGCCTTGCAGATTCCTGTTTCCTGGACTAGCACCCCACCTTGGCTGTCATTCCTCCATAGCGAATCACTTCTGAAAAGTTGTGTGCATCACTTCCCAGCAGCCTTTCCAGCAGACAGCAAGTTTCTTACAGAGCTCCCCTTCCTGTTGGCTCCCTGCTGCCTTTATCCTGCACTTCTCAGCTGTTTCAAGAGGCCGGTGTTTGGCCACAGCTGTACAACCACTGGGCCAGAAAGTCTGGCTGCCCTACACTACGGACTGCATGACGTCACTTCATTAATTTTTGGGGAAAAAAAAACAAAAACACAAGCTGATGGAAAGATTGCTTGGTCAGATCTGACCTGAGCACTGCCCATGCTAGCAGGATCCCCAAATCACTGACTCACACAACAGTGGCACAAGTAAGATGCTAAATTGTTCAATAAGGTGGTGGGGACCCAGGGCTGAGTGGAGTAGTTACTCATACTAGTTGCTACTCATACTAGTTACTTGTCCATGTAAGAGCGACAGTCTTCTGGAGTACTGCTAGGAGAATGTGGCAATGGTTGTTTCCTTTGGAAGAGATCCATGTCATAACAAGGAAGCACAAATTTTAAGGAGAATTGGGCCAAGAAAAGTGATCACTAAATGGTATTTCTTCTCCTGTGTTCCTTCTGTCTACCAATAGTTCTAGAGAACAACACCATGCAGCTTAGGCTGTGTTAGGAGAGCTCAGCTTCCAAGTTAACACACGCAGTGGATGGGTGAAATCATAAGGGCAACTCTGAATAAGCCATTATTTGCAGACTGTTCCACGGGTAATGGAGTATAATGAATGCCTGCGGGAAAGTCTGCTATAGCCTCCCATAAAATCTGTGGAAAACCGAAGAGCTGAAATTCTAAGAATAAATTTGGGGTTATGAGTCATCCAATGCTGAAGTTATAAGGAAAATATGTGACCACTGACTGGGCTTATTCCCACTGGAAAAGAGGTAACATATACAGAATTTTCACATTAAGAAATTTATTAGCCTTTACTGAAGCTACGTGCTCCATGTTAGACAGGAATCATGGACATAAAGGCTAAAGTTCTAGGAGTAAAGAAAGGCAGACGTGGCTATGTGTGTGCAAACTGTCTTTTTCCTATTTTGGCATCATTAGAAACAAACTCATAAGGACTTCAGAAAGAAAAGGAAAAATTCAAGATTTACCTAAATCTCCATCACAAGCCTGAATTACTTTCACTGACCATTAATGGGATTAAAGTTCTTAAAAATTAGGCACATCTTAAAAGAATCCTTTTCAAGTCATGCAAAGGACTTGAGGAATAAATGGAAAATCCAGGCAGCAAATGGGAAGCATTAGTCCCAGATCCCTTTGGGCTGTCAGAACAGCGAGGAAGCCGATGGGTAGGAGTGGCAGCAGCAGCTCACCTCTGCCAACAGGTCCGCACAGAGCCAGGAGCCACAGGAACATGGGATTTCTTACCTGCATTTAATACAGAGGCTGCTGGCAGCACAGTAATAAGAGTGTTTTTGAATGGGGAAAGCATTCTGATAACCCAAAAGGATTAGGACCTTATTCATCTTGTGATTCAAACTGTAATAAAAACAAAATTGAAACTCTCTTATGAATACTCTTATGAGCTTAGCATCTATTATATAAGGATGCATTTAATGGACACGACCGAAATGCTGTGAGTCAGGTCTGGCCTATTTGAGAGATGGATGAGGCAAAGCCCAGGACCCATTTGTGTGTGAGTGATTTGAAGAGGAATAAAACCCAGCAGTCCTGCCTGGCTGGTGCTCTAACGGTGGCTGGCATTTCCCAGACAGAGAACGGTCTCAGCAGAGGGTTAGTTCAGGGAAATTTTTTATCTGGCCTTGCTTGCAGGCTTATTAGTGCTTTGGCCTTGAATCTCACTGATCTTTTAAATGGGAATCAAGTGAAGGGGGAGTCTCATCGCACTCGCCTTGTTGATTAAATATCAGCAGAGAGACCTCATCTATGCTAATGGCTCTACTGCTGAGAAAGGGTTGCAATTGTGAAAGGCAGCTTTCCATTTTCAGGGCTCTGGGGGTGGATACGGAATGAATCTGGCTGTGGAGTTTGAGGGGATTCTGCACAGGAAAGCCAAAGGTGGATACGTGAATCCACGAGTGCTTTGGCACGGCCCCGGAGAGGCAACGCATGCTGAACGCCTCAGCAAGAGCTGCCAGCACAGCGTGGGTGGCTGCTTACACTTATCCAGCTTCACAGCCCCCCACAGGACTTGTCCATCACTACAACATTCACAGGACCATCTGGTCCCCCCGTCTAGCTTCTCTGCTAAATCAAAGTTTTGTTTGTGCTGACTCTCTGCAGATGAAATTCCCACAGCATTTACAAAGGGGGGCTCAGCCATCCCATACCAGCCCCACACAAGGTGCAGGGTGTTCCTAAATCACAAAAGCACCTTTTTTTCTGCCCAGCACATCCCTCCTGCTCAGGATGCTGCTGCTCATTGGGCCATGGAAGTTTTCCTGCCCAAGAACAAGTGTGAGACCAGGAATTCGTGCGAGATGCTCGGGGTGCCCGTGCAGAGGTCAAGGTGGGGTTTGGCATGGAGGTGGGAAACATCAGGGGAGCCATGGCTGGGCTCCTGGTCTGCATTTATCCAGAAAAATATAAACAATTAAATAATTAATTAAAAAAAAAAAAAAAAAAAAGGAAGAAGAAGAAGAAGTGGAGAAAAACCACTGAGCTGACAGGATTAGGATTTACTGTTGTATCAGGTGAATTCAGGTCAATGAGAAGATGAGGCCAGGTTTTATCGCAGTTGATGTGAAAGCATCCTCTTCACACAACTAAAAGAAAGGATGGTGTTACACATCTGGTTTAACCTGACTCACGCAGCCAAGCTTGAATTTCTGCATAACTGCATAATTACAAATGGGATCTTTTTTATGTTTTTTGATCTAACATTACGAGTCTGAGAGTCTGTAAGATGATATTATCCTTAAAATATTATTACTATACCATGAAAAGGAAAGGGAGCTGTGTGCCTGAAAGACAGATTTTGCTCTCAGCTTTGGTGTGGATGTTTTGCAGTCACGGGCAAAGGGCTTTACATTTTTCTTGTCTCAGTTTACTGAGCTGTGAAATGATGATAACAACTGCAGCCCTGGTGTCTGGGAAGTCTGATGCTCTAACTGTGCCTTCAGTTTTTTATACACAGGATGTGAGAAAGTTTAAAACATTACTATGACACCATCTCTTTTGCTTGTTGTGTACTTACTACTCTGTCCTTGCCAATTCAAGATTTAGTCCTCTGGGAGGTGATTAATAGCACTTGAAGATGCACACTTACACGATATTTCTCCAAAGAATTATGGTGTGTGCCTTTCAGCACATCAGCAAATAGAAAATTTATAACTCCCCGTATGATTGCCCTTATCAAATGAAAATACAGTCTGTTTCTGTCAGGATATGTTATGTTGAAAAGGAATATTCTGAAAAAGAATATACTGGTGTAATAAATTTAACAAATGCATTATTATTATGACTATTGTTGGGGAAAGCTCAGCAAAAACAATGATATGAAATGAATACATTAAAATAATTTTACAAGTTAGCAAGCTTATACTAATGACTAGTTTTAAAAATCACGAAATCAAAGAGCTAAAATACCTAGAGTTGTTGATGCTTTTTTCTTTTTTCTTTTTTTATTTTCTTTTTAAATACCCCTGCAGTCATCTTTGAGATAACAATTCACATCACAGAAACATTCTAAATGTGTGCTTTGTCCCACGAGGGATAGTAAGGGCTAAAATAGCTGTTAATTTGCATCTGATGTAGATGTGTTTATTTTCAGAACAAAATGTAAACGTTTTCTAAGAAGTGTTAAATTCATTTCACACATTTCATAAAACACTGTGGGCATCTGTTTATTTGTAATTTTTGCATAATTTGGCCATAATTTGCTTGATATTTTTCCCCTCTTCCTTTCCGAGGGAGGAAAAATAAGCAATACACAGATTATTTAATGTGAAATGTCCTTTAAGCAAAAGCTGAACTTTGCTAAATTGGTCTTTAGGGGGCAGCTACTTTAGTTCTCATTTGTCCCTTCCTATTTCTGTGTGAATTCAATTACTTACCTGATTTATTTTCTCTCTCTCTCTCTCTTTTTTTTTTTTTTTTTTCCCCTCTTGGCCCCACTTGTTATGGCTGAGACCTTTCAGGTGTTTAACCATTTGCAGCTGCCTGGAAGCGACTCTAACTCCACCTGGATAAACTGATATAAACCTGGGATAAGCAGATTGTATTTCCTTTGCAAATATGTGTTGAAATGAATGGTTACCTGGGAATGAACGTGAACTCTCTGCATGGACCTATTGCTACCTGGTGATAAGGTAAGGGACAGCAATGCCTGTGTGGGCAGTGACCCCATATCTCTAAAACCTCATGATAAAATAGGGGAAATCTGCAGCCTCTCTGCTGACCTGTCCCTCCATTCAGTGCAGATGCACTCTTGCTTTTCATCACTGCAAATTAGACAGAAAAGGAGGCAAAGATCTCTGTGATTGGCACCCATTTCTGCAACAAGTCAGCCAGTAAGTGCCACCAAACCCTGGGAATTAGCAAGGTCAATTTGTAATAGCACAACCCAAAGACCTTTGAGAGAACGGAAACCCTGAGAGAAATGAGCATCTGTTGGAGGCCCTGAGCTTCGTTAGCAGTTAGCTTCTTCTTGTCACCGGTGGATGGGTGCTGAAGCTAATCCAGGAAAGGTTTTGAGGAAGATTATGTTCTCATTTCCATCAATATCACTCCCCCAGCCTTGCCTATTAGGTGTCAATGTCTGTCTGTCCTTGGTGTGCACCCACAGCTGCTTGGAGCAGGGAGAAAGCCTGGGACACCAGGCAGTGCTGGAGCCAGCTCTGCCCCAAAACTCACTGCCCCATGCCCACCAGCAGCCCCAAATGCGCTCTGGCCTCCTCACATCCTCACTCCTTGCTGCCCTTGAGTAATCATTGCTGGTACCAGTGCAGCGCTCTGCTTTTTAAGCCACACTTAATTCCTTTTTTTAGAAAGGATCATCTGGCAAACCCCAGCTCCAAGAGGGAACCTGCAGCAGAGAAACACCCAGCTGCTGAGGAAGTGGGTTAACAAGAAAAGCACTGAATCACAGGCCTTCCTCGTGTACAGCACCTGTCAGTAACAAACGGGTGTTACCCTCAGTAGCTACTTCCCCCTCTCTTTAGTCTGTCTCAAATCAAGGTGAATGAACTTTGTTGTTGTTAGGAATATTCTTTCTTTTTCCTCATGCTTAAACAACAAATAGTATGAATGCAAGCTCTGCCTGCAGATCCCTCAATACGAACAAGCTTAGGACAGAGAAAAGTGTTCTGCAGAACCAGGTTCTCAGAAGCTGCCTTTCTAAGCAGGGAGAGGACAGCAGGAGGAGTGCTCTTCCCCTAATTGGGAATTCCAGTTTAGCTCGGTTAATGTGCAGTGAGCTGGAGCTCAAGTTGGATACGGATCCAAATGTCTCCTTGTTTGTCCAGGGCTTATCAGAACACCCTGAACTTTCAGCCTTGCAAATAGTGAGCTGGAAAAAGCAGAAGAAAAAACCTCTCTTGGGAGGTTTCTTGTTCTTTTTTACCTGTAGTTGGGCCAGAAATACTTCAAAGATAGATTTTTCTTGTGACATTTGAAGTTTTCTGACTCTGGTGCCTGCCAGGGACTGCAGAGATGGATATTTAAGGGGTCAGAGATTCAAAAGATCTCAGTTCTCATATAGTCACCAGAATAAATGACCTGCTTTTCAAAAAAGGTCTTATCACTGAAAAGGCACCCAGCCCGGTGTTCCATAGGGAGCTGCTCAATTCGGAAATTCCTTTGAAATCAAGATCCAATTGTGAGCAATGTGATTTTAGATATTTGACTGGAGCTATTTTGAGCTGGTAGTTTTAAGTGGTTTGTGAAGCAAAAAAAATATTACCATACCTTTTCAGGCACAAAACCAGGAACAAAGCTAGCTGACTATGGGAATAAGCATCCTGAATCTCAAGTTCAGAGATGAAAAAAGAAGAAACAGCAAAAAAAAAAAAAAAAAAAAAAAAGGGGGGGGGGGTATATCTAGGACCTTAATGCACCAAGGTGAGAGGTCTATATAAGGGTAATTATATAACATCTTTGTCACATAAATAAAAATAAAATGGAGTCAAGGCCTGGGGTCTAATCCCAAATCTGCATTCACCTTGCATCAGACAGGTCTTCTGGGACAAAAAAATACACTGTAGGCCATGATGGTTTCCCCGTGACCCTGGTACACTTCCACCCAGACACACCATCCCCTCTTAAAGCAGCTCTTCCAAGAGCTACTTTATTTTCCTTCCAGATGTGCTGTACTCTTGCACAGCTGGCTCTGACTACAGGACATGCTGGATGTTTTCCTGGTTCTTAGAGATCTGGGAGACTTTGCCTTCTTTGGCTTATGATGTGCAAGGGGAAAAAAAGTGTTCATCCAAGCCTTTCCACCCAGCCTCACTCACAATAAGTAAGCCTTTGTATTTTGACCGCAGGGAGGTGTTAATGGTGATGCAGAGGGGATGTTGTCAGTAGCCTGGCCCTGTAATCTCCATGCAGCACATTAATCTCATTCTGCAGACCTAAGGAGAAACCTCCGTAGGCTAATTCTGACCCAGTACATATTAGCAATCTGCTCTGGCTGAGAAGTTAGCGTGTAGAAGGAGCTGGCTGCACAGCTGATCTGCCAGCTGGGACTTCAAGCTAAAGAAAAGGGGAAGCTGGGTGTCGTGAAAAACTTTGGAGAGCCGAGCAACACCAGGAGCCACAACATGATGGCAAAGTGATCCAGATCGAGCTGACCCCTGCCTGTTATATCCATCATACTTGGATGGTACTGCCTTGTGGACTTCTCATTACCATTTAATTTCTAAAAGCATTGAAATCTGAGTCATTAGATGCTAAATTAGGAGAAGTCAACCTTAACCTTTTTTGTATTTGACCCTGAACATCCCAAGGAGTTTTTCCTTGTGGACCTGCTGACTGTGAGCTGCCTGGTTCAGATCCAGCCTGTGGTGGCCAGTACCAGGGCCATATCACATTCATCAGGTGGGCTGGGATGTGGTGTGATGCTGCAGCTGCTGTTTTACAGTAGCTGCCTTTTCAGCAGATTGCAATCCCTTCTCAAATCAGACCCACCCAGCCATGACTATACATGACATACAACATAAGAAAGGGGCCGCCAAATGTTCCCAAAGCTGATCTCACTAGAAATGGATGTCCTCAGTACTGTCTGTTGCATTAGAAGAGCAGTTTGCAAGTGGCACTTACCTAGCATGCCTTTGTTTGAACTGGATAAGCACATATCCTTCTCAGCACTGGGCAGAACAAATCCAACCACAAACAGCTCCACCCCATCTGCCATCAGTGCCAACCCTAGAACAAAGAAGAGCGTCCACTGGAAGCGTCCATGGCCACACTCCTCGATGATGTTTTCATACTGGTGGGCCAGTTGCTCCTCATCCTCCATCCTTTCTGCCATAAGGTCAGCACGGTCTCTGTAGTCATCATCCCCAGCAGGAGCTCGCTGCTTCTGCTTGGCTTTAATGTCATCTGGGTGTGGGATCCCTTGGTACTCCCCCTCATAGACCTCATCATCTTCATCGTGCCCTTCTGTAACATCGCTCTGGGCATCTTCTTCATGAGTGGGCTCGTCCCCACCACGGTAGTAGCCATCGTTGGATGTGTAACCTTCGTAGTTGCCATCCTGGTACCTATAGTCATCAGAGACTTGGTTTGTGTCCCTGCCCCCCTGATAGAGGTTTGTGTTTCTGTAGCCATCATCCATTGTGAATGCAGATTTCTCGGTGCTGCAGCTCACTGTGTGCAGATACTCAAATATATGTATTGATCTGTGCGATTGTTGCCCTGAATTACTTGAGCATATCTTCTCTCTGTTCTTTGGAAGTGATGTGATACACGGCTGCCCAGGCTCAGAGGGAGAATTTCTATATAAAGTTTCCCTTTGACAGTCTCATGCAGTTGTTGATAATGCTTCACTTTTCAGCTGTCATTTGTGACTTGCTGGCTTCTTCCTTGCTTTGGGTGGGAAGAGCTGGGGCTGCTGGCTGGTGAACAGCAAGGGAGCAGCAAACTGCACAGCCAGGGAGCTAGGAGGATTTGACAGCTTTTTCTCTATTCATCCTGGGGGTGAAGGTCACGTCCTGAAGAAACAATAGCAATGAGACAAAGGTAAGCTCGCAAGCACGCATGCATTGAGTTTAACATCCAACATTTTGAACACACATTTTTTTCCATTGCAAAAAACGGCAACAGAATGTTTGGGGAGTGGTTTTGCATCTGCAAACCCCAGAGCCTCAGGGAAAACAACAACAAAAACAGGCATTAAAAATTACCAAGCTAAGTGAGAACCTAGCATAGACTGTAAAGGAACCTAAAGGAGGTTGTAAGGTGATGTGTGGTCTCAAATTCTGCCATTCCCAGAAGTCTTGCCTCCCACAGGTGGTACTGGTTTCTGCAGAGAGCAGAATATTACCGAACTGGGCTGCCTGAAAAGTGCTCTCTGGTTGTTAAATCTGTGCTTAGCCACCTACCCAGAGCATGCTTATCCTGAGTATCTACAGTGTCTAACATCATAATGACACAAAATATGAGCTTCATTTTCCTTTTCATCCAGATCCCCAAATTAATTTTATTTGATGGTTTCTTTTCTTCCCCTGGTGTCTACCCGTCTGTGTGACAGATGTACAACTAACAGGCAGTGTCTGCCAAGATACAGTCACCCAAAGTCCCACCAAGCTCTGCTCTCCCATCTCTAACCATCGATGGAGGCTGATTTTCACAGAAAGCAAAAAAACAAAGTTAGTATGGAATCACTGCTCTCTGCAGGGAAAACCGAGGGAAGCCAAGTCACATCTAAACACATTCTCATTTTAGACACCTGATTTCCATTATTTTTCAAGCTGTTTTTAGCCAGCTGGCTCTCCAGCATTCTGGGTTTGTTGCTGCACGCAGCTGTAGACAAGATTTTGAAAGGAGTCTCACATGGGAAACTAAGCAGAGTCACGCTAGAGGAGCCAGCACAGTGTAGGCATGCACAGAAATGTGGACTTCAATTTAAGCTTTGAGCTACTTGCCTAAATAAAGTGAGCTAAGAAATGACATGGGCATATGTACATGCCTGTATATATCATAGAATCATTTCAGTTGGAAATGACCTTCAACATCTAGTTCAGCCATGAATCTGGCCTTCTAAGTCCTGCCACGTGTCCCTTAGTTCCACATATGTGGCTGTTACCCACACAGGTAACCTATAGAGCTGTGCACAAAGCAGACGTACATCACATTGCTATCCCTGCACTTAGTGATGTAACTTAGCAGATATGTATGGGTTTAAAGTAAATGCAGCTAAAATGACTCTAGAGGAGAAATTCAGTAGAAACACTCTCACAAAATGCTCAGAGGGGCATCACTCCTGCAAGTTCTTTGTATTTTTTGCAGCCCAGATGTTCAGGATAAAAGGAAGAGTCTCACCTATGCTGTTCATGGGAGTTGCTCTGAGAAACTTCTTGAAAGTTTCCTATTCATTTCTGTCTAACTGTCTCTATGTTCATGGCATATAATTACAACACGGTCTCTGCAGGCCCTTCCAGAGCATCCTCCTTTGCTCTGAACCATCTGCCTTTTGTCACTGCTTTCAATGTGTTTCCCGCTCCTTTCTTTATGCTGAATCACACAATATATTTTGTATGAAGTTAAAAAGGCAGTAGGGCATTATTCCAGGGCAGAAAAAGCAATCAATAAAGTAAAAAAATAAATAAATCCTTTAGGCTTTCTGTTCAAGTCAGAAAGATCAGGAGGCTACAGTGCATGTAGCATTAAAGAGAAACACTTGCATCCACAGTGGAAATGTTAATATGGAGGGGAATTAATACATTTGACAATCATTAGAAGCACTTAAATCGGCTTTACAGCTCTTGTTTCAATGTGGAGTGTCACCACTAATGGTTAAAAAAAAAATCCAAGGGTACTTTTGAGTCTCAGAACCTCCCAGTCTTGAAGTAACTTTCATGATTACACAGATTTGTGTCATGACTGAACGGCATGTTCTTATCAAGGCAGTGAAAATGTAGTTCCATAGAGACGTATTTTCTTTTGAAAAGTAGAGGAAATAGCCTTAAAAAAAAAAAAAAAAAAAAAGTGCTAAGGATCATTAGACCTTTCTTTGGAAGTCTTAAGCATCCTACAAGAAGGACATCGAGGTGCTTGAGCGGGTCCAAAGAACGGCGACAAAGCTGGTGAGGGGCCTGGAGAGCAAGTCCTATGAGGAGCGGCTGAAGGAGCTGGGCTTGTTCAGCCTAGAGAAGAAGAGGCTCAGGGGTGACCTTATTGCTCTGTATAAGTACATTAAAGGAGGCTGTAGCGAGGTGGGGGTTGGCCTGTTCTCCCATGTGCCTGGTGACAGGATGAGGGGGAATGGGCTAAAGTTGCGCCAGGGGAGTTTTAGGTTAGATGTTAGGAAGAATTTCTTTACTGAAAGGGTTGTTAGGCACTGGAACGGGCTGCCCAGGGAGGTGGTGGAGTCACCATCCCTGGAAGTCTTCAAAAGACGTTTAGATGTAGAGCTTAGGGATATGGTTTAGTGGGGACTGTTAGTGTTAGGTTAGAGGTTGGACTCGATGATCTTGAGGTCTCTTCCAACCTAGAAATTCTGTGATTCTGTGATTTGTTGGCAGGTTATATTTCAAAGTGACCTCAAATGTCAGAGCAGGAATTGCAGTGACCTCACTGTTCTTGTCCTCTGGTTGATACAGGAGTAGGTTGAAAACTGGTCTTAGGAAGTGAAGTATTAATATTATTAATGATTAAGAACAGGATTCATCAGATTCCAGATCTCCACAGGCCTTACCTCTAGCCTTACAACTCCTTTTTCAAAAAGTGAAATATGTTCTTGAAGACCAAGCACCGGAAACCTTTTCCTTCACTATTAAAAAGCCATGGCTGGAAGCTTGGCACTCTGCCTCCTACAACTGCAGGAGCACAAATGCCCACGAACTCAGAAAAGCCCTGTTTAAGCATCTGTGCTCTTTTGCTGACACACAAAGATTGTTTTTTACTCTATGAGTTCACTCACATCATGGGCAGCATAGGAAATATTGACATGAGCTGCTGAGTCCATAGACCAGTGACTGCCACCCGTGTGAGGAAGAATGTGCAATTCAGAAAACAAGACTCAGTAAATAAGAGTCTCTGGCTTCCTACTGAGCTTGTAGGATGGATATTTTGGGGGATTCCCCCAGGAGAAGGGGCAGTGCTTAGAGGCAGGCTGTTATTTAGTACTCTTCAATATTTTTCTTAGATATTTCACGCTACTTGCTTCCTTCCATTGCCTTGCATGCAGGGGCTGATTCACTCTAGACCTGATTCTTTAACACCCTTTCACTTGAGCTAAGCTGCACTTACTCATATTAGCAGCCCCATTTAGCATTGAGATGAGAAATCATGACTTCTTGTAAAGATTGCAGGCTTGGATCGCTGTAATTATACTTTGCAGTGATGCACGAAAGCTTGAGACAAATGTACACACAACATCGAGCCTATTTCAAGCTTGGGCCCTTTTTAAATGATTGCTACAAAACCAAGGCATGCAGGCAAGGCTTAAACATGCAACACATGAAACTGCAGGGGAGAGGGGCGGAGGTAGGGAAACTTTATTCTGGGTCTCCCCAAAGTGCTTCTGTCCCCACTAACCTCAGTTGTGGTGGGGTCAGAGTCAAGCTAGGAACTGAAATCTGGGTCCTCCTCTCTGCCTTTCCCCATTCCGAAAGGGGAAGGTCTCACAGAGCTGAAGGGGGAGGCTCTGTAAATCCTAATGCAAAGGAATTACAGGTGGGGAGCAGTGCAGGAACACTGCAGGATTGCTTTCAAGGGATTTTTAGCATTCATCAGAAGAATCCCTGTAAAACTGACGGCAGAGAGGTTTAATATTCTGCCTGAAGGACAACTCCTCTGGCCAAACATCCCTGCCCCCAGAGCTGCTTTCTGTTGGCAGCAGTGGGAAGATGCCCAAGATCCTGCTGCGGCCATAAGGACACTGCAGTCACAAAGCTGGCTGTGAAGGAGTTGGAGAGGAAATCCTTTCGGAAAGGGAATAGCGCAGATCAGTGTTATTGGCTTTTGTAAAGTTCCAATCTTATCCTCTTAATGAGGATGCAATTAATGGCTCCATTTGTACACATGAAGGAGCAGGTTTTCGCGATGCTTAACAACTCGCAGCTCCCAGGGGAGCTCTTGCTTGGATTTCAGACAGCCAACATTTACACGAGTGTTACTAGACCAAGGGCTGTAGCAAGGTCTGGTCGCCACGCTGCTAGATGGGGGTGTTGCAGCGCTGTGCTGCAGACTCCCTGAGCAGTATTGGGGGACTGTCACTTAGATGCTTGGGGGATTGTGTCCCCAGCTCTAAATGGGAAGGGCACAGCATTGTCACTTGATTGCTCAAACCCTTTGCAGCAGTGTCTGCATGAATAAGTGGCAACTTATGCCCCAAAAGCCTAAATAAATTGAAGATGGGAGATGAGCTCCCTGTGTTCCCTTTTCTATAAATGAGGCTCAATGTCTTTGTCAGGTGTCCACTGACCTCTGCAGTCCAGCTCCATAGTTTTTAACTAAGAGAAATTATTTTCCCCCAGAAGAGTTCTAAAATTTTTCCTTCATTTTGGAAAGAAAAATGCTTAAATTAATCTGCAACCCCACAGTCCACACAAACAACACTTTCAGATCAGGTCCATTAAAATGTTTCACCTTACCTATGGCAGAAGCCTGCCCTTCTCATAAACACCAAATAAAGCATGAAGAATTGTTTCAAAAGGAAAAACGTTTAATTTAAGAAGTGCCAGATTGTCAGCTACTTGATCCATTTTTTATTAGAAATGTTTGTCGAAACAGGTTTTTACCTGAAAAAATCACGTTTTGGAAAACTGACACTTTTTTATCAATGAAAATTGTATCAAGCTCTTCAATTTACTTTCATTTATATAATATTCTCTAATGAATGTTGTTAAGAAGGGAATATAGAAAAATAAAATATAGGGAAAGTAATCCTATTCTTTATATGCATGTGACTGAAGGTATTTGACCTCTGTTGCAGGGCAGAAAAAGGCTTTTTTTCATCACAAGGCTCTGATTATTTGTTTTGTTTTATATATATATATTTTATTTTATCTTTGCTGACATTAACATTGCTGCTCCAGCTACACAATTCAACATCCAGAAGAGAGCTTTGCAGTATCATCATTTTCCTGGACAGATGGCAAGGCTGGGCTCTTGGCAAGGATCCTGCAGAGGGAAAAGTGGCAAGATCTGGAGAGAATACATTTGTGAGTACAGTTAGAAAAAAGGAGTGAGGGGGCTTCGGTGGCAGAGAGGTTGAAAGCAAGTGAAATCAGAAGTCAGGGAGTGGGGATAATGGTCCAAATTGTGCTCAGAGGAGGGTGGGAGATGGTCAGGGAAGGATGGAAGCTCTGACAGGTTATTGATCCACTAACAAGGAAAAAAAAAATCTATTCCTTAGTAATAACAGCAGCTCTTGCTTCATACCTAAGGATTATAAACCCATCTCAGGCCATCTCTGTCAGAGCTCAGCTGTAATCCTCACTAATTCTTGCTTGACTTTTTGCAACTCTATTTCACTGCCAAAATAATAACCAGACAGGAAGAAAAGCTTTGGAGTATACGATTATGAAATACTTTTGGACACAGTTGGCTGTGGGGAATATCACTCAGGCTAAAGACCTATTGACCACTTGAGGAGCTGACTGTATCAAAATAGGCCATGTATTGCATGTTTTCATCAGTCTCTTTCCTTGCTTTCTCTTTCCATCAAATATACTAATCCTAAGGTGGTAATGAGAAAAGAGTCCCCAAGGAGTTTTGAATAGGATGGTCTCAGATCTGAGCACTGGTCAGTACATTAAAATGATTTAATTCACTGAAGATCTGGTCTCTTTAGAAATACAGGTCAGCTTTTCACATAGGAGTTATATAGTTCATATATGATCGTTGTCAGATAAATGGGCAGTGTATATACCACTTAAAAATCCTCCTGATTCCTCCCATCTCCTCTCCAGTCCCTCAAGAATGGAAGAAATGTTTGTCCTTGCAAATAAAATCCAAAAGAAACCATGGTCACCAGGCCTTCTTGAGAGAGGACCACATCGCAATCCCAGGTCAGAGCCCTTGGATTTGGAGGAATGTCAACTCCAGCCTGAATTTTTTAGAAAATCTAGCAGAAAACAGAGCTGTTTCATTTCAAGAAATCAAGGCAGATGAGTGAGTCTTCTATTTACTTTTTTTATCAGCCACGTGGTAGCTGGGAGCAAAAGGTAGCTACTTTGCTACTAAAGACACTGTATATCTGTGTAGGCATGCTAATTAATGGTTTTCAGGTGCAAAGCTATGTGTTTACTGCTATAACAATCAACTGTTGCTGCAAATACTCACAAGAGGCTAACTGGGTCTGGACAACAGAGATTTAAAAATCAAAGCTGCTTTGTGCATGTCTGTAATGGGTACCTATCTTAAAGAGTCAGCTCTGGATAAAGAGGTTTCTTTTGTTGTGGCTTCAGAGCTGAGCTCTACATTAAGTGAAAGCTAAGAACAAAAACAATTTTCTCCTAATTTTTTATTAAGAAGTTATTTGATAGATATGTAACACAGGTTCAAAAACTCTCTGTGGAGCTTATTAAGCAAGCTATCTGTGCCACAGATCCCGCATGAGTAGCTGTGAGTTAAAAGAAGAGCAAGAGTTTTGAAAGTCATTGACTTGAAATCACCTGGTTCAAAGAACTGGCTTTCAGCAGTACAGATGGCACCTAATGATAGCTCCCCTGCAGTGCAGGTAGGACACATAGGGTAAAAGTCCTCTGTTTAGTGTAAAAATCAATGATTTTCTCTAACGTGCTGCTGGGATCTCTGGGACGGTACTCATTTATTCAGTTTGCTTATGCTGTAAATGGGAGGATGATCAGTGTTGATGCAGCCCCAGTGTATTGAGAATGAAGGGAAAAGAGAGCTCAAGCAATGTGGTGTGCTACCAGCCGATCAGATTAATTATTTAACAGAGAAAGCAGTTCAAAATTATCTGCTACAGAGTTTATTGAACTTAAGTTGTCTTACAGTTTCTGGATAATCTCTATTGATCTGTGGTGGTTTATACATATTCCTGTCCAGGTCCATACCATGTATATTTTATTTCACCGTGGCAAAATACCTAATCTATATGTCCCTAGCATCCTGTATCACTTTGCTACAGCAACATAATTTCTGTGAAGTTATGTTTGAAGATCATGCGTTCACAATAGCTTGTGAATTTGGGGGCACGGCTGGATGTGGTATGAATGTCAAGAGTCCCGTTGTTTTTCATTGAGCCATCCTGATTTACATTAAGTAAGAACCTGGCTCTGCTGCTCTAATGCTGTTACACTTTTTTGTGCTATTCCATCCCGAGTGTGCTGAGGGAGGTTTCTGGTTTCCAGCGCATCAGGCACTAAAATCCAACTGCCTGATGTGGTGGTGACTTTCACAGTGGGCTGAACTTGTAATCTGCCATGTTACATTATGAACCGAGGGACAGAAAGTCCCCGTGATTGTTAAGGGAGATTATATTTTAAAGCCTGATATTCTTTTGGTACAGATGCTTTAAAGGTCATATCTAAGACAGTATGTGCTGCAGCAAGCTGGCACAGTGAGTATGTAGCAGACGAAAGAAAGAACAAGCATCAGTCAAGCAGAATAAACAGCTTTTCTGAAGCTAAGGACACAGACTAGTAAATTGGGTGTCCGTGAGATACAGAGGAACGTCTAACAGTAGGAGTTGGAAAGCAATGGCTTAGAAACACTGAGCTATATAAGGAGGGCCAGACTACACATTAGGATTCCACAGAAAGGCCCTAAAAGGTCAATTTGACAAGCTGAATATGGATAATGAGTTGAGACAGATGGTATAAGAGTATGGTAGCTAATAAATAATGAACAGACTTGCTTCAAGGAGCAAAAGGAGGGAGAAATCGCAGCTGAGAGCTTAGTCAGAAGGGAGGAGGTGAAGGGGAAAAGAACAAAACCGTGGATGATGGGAGAGGATCACAGCAGGAGGACTAGTGGGAGAAGTGTCTGATTTTGAGTGCCAGAACTCGTGGAGATGGTAATTTACGCAGAGACATCTTAGAAATGCATATGCGTGAACTGGAATTTGGCCATCTTGTTGAGATTAACTTCTTTTTGCTGGAGAAACACTCATGGCCTATAAGCCTCTCCTAGATGCCTATTCCCCCTCCTCTCCTATTATTGCAGTACCTAAGCATCTTACAGTGCTTGCACATCCTCTGTGAGGCAAGGGAAAGTTCTCAGGCTTGTTTAGCATATCACAACCTGAGGCAAAGAGAGACTAAAGCTTCACTTACGCACCAAAGTGCTCTGCACTGTCCCTGAGTCCCAAGGACCCTATAGACCAGCAAGCTGAGGCTTCCTTCAGCTTTCACACCCAGCCATCTTTGACACGACCAAGATAAAGGTGAGCATTGCTGCCCCACAAATCTCTTCCTAATGTGAAGCTGAAGCACAAACCCTGACCTGGATACCAAGCAGCACTCCCAGATATCCCAAAGCAGATGTAAATCAGGGAGCTTTCTTAGGGTCACCCAGGGAAGCCACACCAGTGTCAAACATTGAACCCACGTTTCCATTATGTCCTTGTCTTTTTCAGTATTTTAGAGCTAGAGTCTCTGGGGCTTTATTGCTTATTAATGAACCAACCCCTCCTTCAGCATTGTACCTGGCAGTATAAACCAACAGGTAATTTAGTGCTGATTCAGAAATAACTGTGCCCTGGTGACCTCCAATGAGTTTGAGCATTTCCATGTGTACATGCCCTTGGACAGCTTCGAACTTTCCTGGGCTTGGAGGCCCTGACAAGCTCTAAGAAATGACTGTAAGCAATAACCTTGGAAATAAACTGCCTGTGATTCAGCAAATTCTGACCGTGTCAGACAGCAAGCATGCCTGATTAACTACAAACTGCTTAGCTCATTGGCAAAGATGTGCCTCTAGCTACAAAGGGGACTTTTATTTCATCACACTTACAATCTGTGTTATTAAATAACGAGCTACTTAATTAACTAATTCATTAATACAGGGCTGTGATGAATAGATTTGCTCCAGTGGCAGAGTCATGAAAGCAAATGTAACCCTGAGTGATTTCTAAATGCTGCTTTCTTTCAGAAGGGATTTAATTCAAGCAAGTATCTTTATGAAATCCCTCATTTTTTTACTGTCTCTAGCTAATGGAGTGGCATCAACGTCCACTGTGTCTGTGTCCCTCTGGCACTCTCTGCTCTTGTCCTTCCCACCTTTCTGCCTTGCCAAAACCTGACCCTCCCCCTTGGGCTCCTCTCAGATGATGTCTTCAGGGCAGCTGTGCCACAAAACCCCTTTGCCCAGAGTTACCACAGTGCTACAGCCTTGCATCTCAGCATTGTCCAGAGCAGTCCATGAGGATGCTCAGAGGGCTGGGGCACCTCTCCTACGAAGACAGGCTGAGGGAGTTGGGGTTGTTCAGCCTGGAGAAGGAATGGCATAGGGGAGACCTCACAGCGGTCTGCCAGTGCCTAATGGGGGCTACAGAAAAGTTGGGGAGGGGACTCTTGTTAGGGAGTGTAGTGATAGGACAAGGGGCAATGGCTTTAAACTAAAAGAGGGTAGATTTAGATAAGACATAAAGAAGAAATTCTTTAGTATGAGGGTGGTGAGGCACTGGCAGAGGCTGCCCAGAGAAGCTGTGGCTGCCCCATCCCTCGACGTGTTCAAGGCTGGGCTGGACGGGGTCTGGGCTGGACGGGGTCTGGGCAACGTGCTGGTGAGAGGTGTCCCTGCCCATGGCCAGGTGGGGTTGGAACTGGAAGGGCTTTAGGGTCCTTTTAAAGTCCTTTTCAACCCAAAACACCCCATGATCATCTATTCAAATATGAAATGACTGCATTGTTTCAGTTAATGTAAAAAATCAGCAGCTATTGCCTGTGCTCACCTTCCTGTTGCTGTGGGTCTGACAAACCTTCCCACAAACAAGAGACAGAAGGACATAGCCAATGCATTTCACACCAAGCCCTTGCAGGGCTGTTCTCTTGTTTTCCAAGACAGTGTCAAAAAAGGACTCTAGCACAGAGATTTCCACTGGCTGAGCACTTTCCCTGCAGGGAACTGTTCCTGCTATTGGGAACAGCTCTTTCCCTGCCCAGGGTGCTCAGGCATCAGTCTCTGGAGGCAGTTGCTTGCCAGCTCCAGTGAAGTGTACCAAGGCACTGGCTGTGCCAGAACACAGACTCGTTCCAAGAAATCCCCCGTGCTGCAGCCTGTCACAGTCACAGCCAACCTTATGCTCTCATCGTGCTCTGTAATAGGTTTGTTACTTATGCTTCCTCTCAGAGCTACATGAAAACAGTCTCAGGAAGTGCAGTTACTGCAAAGCTAAGATTTAGATCAAATAAGGGGGGTGATTCTCAAATTAAATTCAGCATCTTTCTTTTTTTTTTCTTTCTTTCTTTTTTTTTTTTCTTTTTGTCTTCCATGAGCCCTCCAATACAATTGTTTTGTGGCCACCACAGCTTTTCAAATTGCAAATGCACTGTTCATTATACACCTTGCCTGTGGAGAAACGCAAGTGCACGCAGCAGCAGATTTAAAAAGATGTTCACTCTGAGACTCCTTTCAAGGTTATTTAACAGTGAAAGTACTGGAGCAATTGTTTTTGCTCCATCTGTTTTCATAGCATTTTGATTGCTTTGACCATTTTTTTAGATATGAAATACTACTGAGGAGACCTGAAATCTGTAGCATCCAGGATCATTCAACAGATACCATTAAGTGTTTATCGTATTCACAACGCACACCCACAGAGTGGTGTTTTCTTCTGTAAGAAGGCAGCTTGCAAAGCCTATCTTGGCTGGGAAACTGTACTGCGAATATTTCAGATGTCCAGGTCTTTGAACAAACCTGCTTTGGAAACAGGCATCTTGCAGGGAAAAGCAAGCAAACAAATAAACAAAAATATATAAATAAAAAGAAAGATTTTTTTTATTTATTTTATTGCCTAGCTGTGCAAACAAAAATTGTCATAGGGCCTGGAATATGTTGGTACTCATTTAACAGTAACACAAAACCTTGCATACAGCAACCCTACATTTATACTCATGTTTTACACCCATGTGGAGGCTTTCAACTCACAAGAGCCCCCAGCAGTTTCTGTGCACTACTACGGCAGAGAAGAAGGGCAGATAATTTGAACTCATGTAGTAGGCTCCCTAACAGTGTGGAAAGGATTGGCAGTATTTTTTCCCAGGCATTCCATAATCCTTTCTTGTCCTTGCAGGAGTTTTTAGGATAGCTCTTTGCAAGAGCAACTCGTTTATGCAGAGCTTTAAGCTCGGGCAGTATCCTGACAGCCCAAAGTCATGTAGTTCTCAGCTGTAACATGGGTCTCCTGCTGTCTTCTGAAACTATGTTCATGCCTCTGCTGAATTGGCAAGGAAGAGGAGAAAAAGGGGAAAACACTGACACAGAGCCAATATTGCAGCACCCAAAGAAGGAGAGAAAGCAACAGCAGGATATGCTATATATATATATATATATATATATATATAAAAGAGGTAGGACAAGGCAGGGTGAAGGAGGAGGAGAAGAAGGCGTAACAGTAGCTGGAACACCCAGTCTTGGAAAGTAATATTACCTTGAGACAGTAAAAGGGCAAAAAGTATTCAGTTAGGCACGTGTGCAGTGGTGAGAAGGCTGCACATTTGCCGCCCAAACAGCCTAATAAATTCCTGTGTTCAGGTTGGACGTTAATGATGAAAAAGCTTCATCTCCAAAAATTAATAGCTTCAATACATCATCGGGCTATAGCACCATAGTTCATGAGTACGCAAGAGAGAAAATCCTCAAAATCACCTGTTGAGGCAGAAAGATTTAGCTATTATTTATTACTTAGTGTGACTCATGCTTGTGGGTAGGAATGTGGCAGTACATATGGGAGTTAAAGTCAATTTGCCATCAATGCAATTTATGCCAGGAGAGTTGAATTCAGGCTACTTCTGCTTATGTTTTACCCACGATTTTTCTGTAAAATATGGTAAGGAAAAGGTTTGAAAAAATATATGTCTGGGCAGCCATTTGTCAGGACTCACAAAGGTTTGGTTAGAGGAAGGATGGCTTAATGTCTTGGGAATCCCTCACTGGGATCCTCGGGGCCATGTTGACTGCTTGTTGCTCTGCCGTTTTGATGGTCTTGACATTTAGGACAGATGGCCATGCTCTGTGTGCTGCAAATCCAGGCACAACAGGTCCAAAGAGCATGGAAAGCTACTCCTGAAAGGTATGCTAGGGACTTCTTGCCAGGGTTTGGGTACGACTATTGCCAGCCCTTCCCACAGCAGTGTACTGCCACATGGCTTCTGACGAGTATATGAGCAAGATCAAAGAGTGTGGGCTTTCCTTTAGCTCCTGCTTTCCTCAGTGCTCAGAGGGGAACTCTTAAATTTGGCATAGTGTGCAGCCCGAAGTGTGTTATTCACACCTACTCCTACTGCTGATACTACTCGTCCCCACCTAGCTTTAGAGATCACGTCCTGCACCACCATGTAGAGCTCTATTTTTGCTCCACACTTCCACCCCAAGCTAGCTGGTGATGCTTTTCTGCAAGACTCCTCATCGAGACTGGCGAAGTCAGCTGGTGGCAGATGGTACTGGTGGCCAAGTGGCTGCTGAAGGCCCCACCTGGCTGGAAGGGAAGGCAGGATGAGGCAGCAAACTTGGTAAGGGGTCTCCATGCAGTACTTGCCTTTCTAATCCCCTGTGTAGGTGCCGTTTCCAAGCTTCCTCTGGGACATAAGTATTTCTTTCAGCATGGAGGAAGAGGGAAAAAATCAGGCTCTTTGCCCTAAGACAGTAAAAGGAATGGAATTACCTGCTGATTCAGAATAGGAGACAATGGGACATTCAGGATATTCATAAGGCAAGAAATTGAAATCTCACACAAGGAAATCCCTATCTACATGTTAGCATAAAAGCAAAGGCCTTGACTACATTGAAAGCAAGGACAGGATGTGTCTGAGGGAAGGGAGAACATGAATTTCATTGGCCTGGACAATCTCTTTTTCTACCAGGAGAAAAAAGTGTTTCAAGATATAAGCCAGCCTTCAAGAGGAAAACTTCACGGTTGTGTTGGCTGTTCTGCTGCTGTCTACTGAGGAGGTTTTAGATATATTTGCTGCTGCTCATTGTCAGAGAGGGGATCCCAGGCTAGAAAGCTCCCTGGGTGATCATTCCTGGGCAGCAGTAATAGGAAGGCTATGAAATGGCTTCCCTTGACCAGCTAAATTGGGGCTATTCACACAGAAACGACACCAGGAGATAGTGCTATCACAGCAAATGGCTTCTGCTCCTGCGAGGGAAGAGAGAAATACAGTCTGTCACACTCTTGAGTAAATCTAAGATAAAATAAATTCAAGACTTTTGCTAGAAGCAGGAATCCTGGATGATATAAAGGAGAAAGCAGGCAAGCAATGGAGTGTGAGAGCAGGTGTCCTCCAGATGATGAGCCTGGGGGGATTCACTGGCAAATTTCAAGGGGATAACAAATACTTCAAGGCAGATGGTGCTTCTTCAGGGGAAAAAGGAGTAGAATATCCCAGGTGAAGGAAGTGGCAAGAAGAAGATGATAATCAAAAGTTATTTATCAAAGTGTAACATCAGGCTGACTTGAAGGGAAGCCAGGGAATGGCCTGCAGACAGTGGGTGGATACAAAGCTTTTCATCTCACCCAGACAGGTTGGGGAAAAAGATTTCTCTCTGATGACACTTCAGTGACCAACGTAAGATATGGTGGTGGCTGCAAAACTTCCCTGATTACTCAG